AAGTATATCTAGAATGTTTTACCAATAACATGGAAAGATCACGAGAAAATTACGTAATAGAATATTACATAACAAGATGTTACGTAATCACATTACTAATACAAAAATATATGCGTATTAATAATGAACCATTACGTAAGGAAGATTACCTAATAGATGAGGAGGTAATCAAAAGAAGTTAAAACTATATAAACACGAGTTATTCTGAACTTACAATCTGAGTTAGGATTCATTCGTTATGTATATTAAATAAAAAATAAAAAATCACTTACAAATTTAGAAGAAAAGTAACACATACGTTTGCTTTACGACCTACTGTCACCGTAATAATCTTTATTACCCATCAACACTTATTTAATATGCAAAACCAATCCGAATCTAACATCGATATGTCTGCTTCAGCTCAGATAGTATATATATTTACTGTAGGTCAGGTCTATGTGTCTGTTGATTGCAGCAGAGCTCCTCCGCCTTCAATCAGAGAGAGACATGAGAGAGTGTAATATATAATTCTATATAATTTGGAAAACGGGTTCCTTTATATACAGAAATTTTCACATTAATATCGCATTGTACGAAGATCGCTGTGTGTCACACTGTTATATAATTTCTAACAAATTCATCAAGAAGAAAGTTTCGACAAAGCATCTTTCTTCTTGACAACAATTTATTTTATAAGCTACTAAGTTCAGTTGCTTCATCGGATGGGCAATTCATAATTATAGTCCTACCTAAACATTTAATATTTTTAACGTAAGGGTATTATTTCAATCAAAAAATTTTGTTCTACTTTTAAAGTCTATTATTGGCCAACTTTTAATATTTAAGGTAATTATGAAAGAAACTGGGGGTCCTACTAAATTTATGTCTGAAACTTAGGGTAACTTATAGTAGCACTTATTCCGATAATACTGTTAAGAAGCAATTGGCAATATCGGATTTAAACCGGCAAAATTATAAGACCCAGCACAAAAAAAATATTAAATCAAAATACGCCAGCCATTTATGTATGAGAATTGTTTAAAGGTGTTGAGGGCTTATATAAAGCCACAACTGTAGAATAATAAATAATTTAAGTTAATTAATTTGTAGATTATATAATTTAAAATAACTGATCAATTATCATACTAAAAAATGTCCGAATTAACTTTAAATAATAACATAGGAAATGCTGAATCAAAGGAAAATGATTCCTCTACCTCAGATTCTCTTCAATTTAGTTTAAGAATTGAATACAATTAAATATCTTAAAACTTTTAACAATTCAATATTAAGTCTGATTCGTTCTAGTAATTTTCAAATTAATGTAGTTATTTGGTAACTGCTTTGAATGAAATAAGAATTTCAAGTAAGGTGGTACTATCGGTGATGAATAAGCCATTCAACATATTAGTTCCTTAAATAACCTTTCTTACTTGTTTCAAAAGTGTCATATCTACTTTAAATAAAATTTATATACCAACATTAAAATTTACTAGTAACTATTAAAAAGATTAATTGTGTTGTAATATATTTGAGGTACACCTTATAGGTAGTAAATAAACCCCACATCAATTGAGAAAATGAGTTTTGACAGTAAATTATAAGAACTCATGGAAAATTGTGACATCTATATCAAAAGATGATATCTTCTACATTACTGTCATGGTACAAAGTCGTAATAGATCCATTAAGAAAAAAAACTCCGCACCATATTAACATCCCATTCAACGAAAACTAATTAACTAGTAAGTTTTCTTAAAGTATATTTCAATTGAGTTTTAAATTCGCCTTCATATACAATAATTAATAAATTAAAGGTAGAGAAAATACCTTGTTCCATTATGCCAAATATTTTACCGTTGATTGAACCTGTTTTACACCTTTCTATGGTGGAAAAGTCAAAGTATTTGATTTAGAAAGCGTTAAAGTCAGACCAAACTTTGTTCATATTGACTATAAACGCAAATCAAAAAAAATTAAAAAATATATTTGGTGCTTTCTCTTGAGCATAAATTATTTTTCAATTTAATTTCTATCAATATTATATAAATATATAACTTCGTAACGCTTACAGAAACGTCTCTGAAAGTAGCCTCGCGTAAACAAAAAGTTAAAAGTGATAATCTTTCAAAATGGCTTAAAACAAATTCTTCATTCTCGACTATCCTTAACACCAGAAATCCTTTTAAATCCAAGGTCTGTAATTAAAAGATCCAAAATATTTAAAATTACACTTATACTCAAGTTAAACAAACCCTCACTAAATTTCGTAGAGAAGATATTTATGATAAATTTGGAGCTTCTACTACGAAAATGTAAAGAATATTACTAAGGGACGTGATCTAGAGCTTTAATTGGTTTAGCATTATAAATTAGATGTTGAAAGAGAAAACAAGGTGATTTAAAATTACTGATATTTGATATAGTGATCCACCATGATTGTCTAAGTTGTTCCCTTATTGAAACCGAACTGTTCGCTTGTCTTTTTATCTGACTCTGGTTTTTATTCCCTAGCTAATTTTTTTGTTCTATATCTCCAATTTATATTTGCTGTAAGCAATCCTGAAACAAGTTTACCACTTATCGTAGGTCATGGAATGATCCTCATCTCTGAACAAGGGAGTCATAATCGTTTATCAGTGGTATTCAGAATTAGGCATATTTTTTTAATTAGATACCAAATCTAAACCAAACAAAAAAAAAATTACCTTTTGATGTTAATATTATTTACAAAATATTGTCAAGGTCAAGGTAATACAGAACACAGAGTACCTAGACATGCTTTCATGGTCCTCGTTAGTCCTTTTAGTTCCAATACCGTATATCCACGTGCTCCTGATTGTTTCCATATAATGAGAATCCCTATCAACACAATTCCCTAAAATAGAGAATTCTTTAAGTTCATCGGAGATTTAATTAACCCCCCATCGTAGTCAAAATAAACAATACAGTCATTAAGATCATAACTGCCTTTTGTTCCATGTTTTCTATTAAATTTTAATAAAAATAATTATAACTAATTTTTATATTTCCTGAAGTTCCATAGCAACTAAATCAATATCGCCTATCAGTACATCTCCGCCGATCGAGATAGTTCCATAAAGAAAGACAGAATTAAACTCAAGGAGTGTTTGATACAACCAGTTCATTTTTAAAAGGTATTACTTTAAGTTTAATATAGGTTCTCACTGGAACTGTGGATTCTATTGTAGCTAAAACAGATACTTCCTACTTATGCAAAATAGTATTTCTGACAAAATATGTTACAGCCACATGTTTTCCACATAGATCACCATAAAATCCTAGTGATCTTACGACGTATAATGTAGTGCTGTATACACGATAATCATATCCTATAACGACTCACAAAATAAATCAAAGACTTTCACGTGCATCAATCGGTGAAAATGTTTGCAACTGTTGAAAACAATACACCTACTATTCAAACTACCAGGTTAACATTTTAATATTGAAAAGGCTTACCAGTTTGATATCCACACGTCTTGATCTTGAAACAATCATCGGCACCCTAACAGTCACCATAACTGAGTTAAAAATTATCGCAACTTACACTACTTCGGAATCTTCAAGCACAATGAACATAATGAGGGATTATAAGGGGAATGAGGGTGCAGATTGGAACATTCTATAACCTAAATTTTTATCTTTAGCATACAAATACTGTTTTACTATCAGGCAAGAACCATCATTTAATCATCTATTAAATTCTTCTCTAAGCTAAGCAATATCTGTGGGCGTATTTTCTATTTTCAACTTTGTCTCTTGATCAGATTAGTGCTGGAAAGCAAACTCAAAGAGAATTTAAAAGCAATAAACAAGTAAAATTGCAAAGAATTTAATAAGATGTTTCTTTAATAGATATTCAAATTTCTGAAGAATTATCAATTAAATAAGACCATTTCAAACCAAAAATTCTTTTCTCAATGTCTATGGGCTGATATTTTTATTTATTCTATAAACAAGAATAAAAGAGTAATAAGTTTACTCGACATTTTGCAGAGTCAATTTTTTCTACCAACAAATGTTGATAACTATTCTAATAATTGTCCAACGATTCTGTGTTTAGATTAGTTCATTATTAGAATTCTTATCCGCGGTGCTACTTTTACAGATAACAACAAGTCAAGACTTCAACAGTAATTGCGCAACTCCTGGACATTTTTCCGTCTCCTATGACCCCGTAGCTTATAAAGAAGCTCGAACGAAAATTGATATAACGATTCTATTGTTGTTAATTGCAGCGAACCGTTTTGTTTATTAAAATTAGGATGTATTCTCCATTCCTGTTTCTGTCATTGTCTCTTAAAAGGACAAACTTATTGTTCTTCGCAGCGAAAGCAAAAAAATTTCAACATAAAAGTGGTTTAACCAAAAAAGGACCGATGAGAACAATAGACAAATATGTTATCCAATCCTTAGAAATAATAAGAAAAGGAATACGAAAACCGGTTGTTCTTTTTTCCTTTAATTAGATGGGGAAGAATACACAATAGAGAATTTAGGCACGCTCGCAAGAGGACACCAACGAACCAGCCATTAAGTTGAACCAACATGTACATTTTTTGATACTGTCGAATGCTTAAACAAATCGGAAATAGAAAAGAATGGTAATTGCCTTCGACTTAATTGAAACCAGTACTTTGGAATCCAATCAGAATGCGTGGACTTGTAATCATATTTTCAGGATTTTAGGGACGTTTAATTTATAATGCAAAACAATATCGTTTATTCGGTAACTACTGCGGAGAGTTTACTACAGGTACTCAATTTAGTCTCTTTTCCTGGTTTATATACACTTAGATATGTGTATGATCATCAGAAAGAATTACTTTCACTCCGAGGTACAAGGATCCCGGAGAATGCAAGATGATTCTTAAGGATTGATATTGAACCTCAATATTTGTTTATTTCCTAGATTGGAATTCTAATTGTATTCACCATCTAGTTCCGCCCCACTGCACCGTCTCTTATTTGACATTTCATTCAACTGATACATGATACTCATACGTATCCAATTTTTTATTGATTGAACTAATAGCAAAATGAAGAAACCAGTTAGAAAAATTGTCATATTACAACGTTTCGACATAGTACATCTATTGTAAAAAATTAGGGCCGCCGTTTACAAAAATACACTCTCTTGTATATGACATTATTTTCTCGTTATGTTTCTTTTGTATAGGATTTGAATACATATGATGGGTTATTAACTATACATAATTTCACATACTTTTGTGCTGAACTATTCACAGTCCTTGAATTAATATAATAGACCAATACAATAAAGATACATATCCCTTTATTGATAATAAATCAAGAAAAGAATCCCGGAAACACAATTGGATTCCTTAATATACACTAATCTTGAAGGTAAAGTACTAACTTATCCATTCTAACCCTTTTTGGGAAGTAATTGCTCGAAAATTAATTTTAACGAAGAATAATCGTTTTTTAAAGATAAATGAATCTTTTGTTTAACAATTTTAATCCAACTTATTCAGATTAAAACTAAAACTTTCCAAATGTATATAAATGGGGCACTTAATTCTCTACTAATGGAATTATAGATACTCCATCTTTTTTCAATGTTCAAAAATTATTGTTTTTACTTATATTTAAGTTGTTTCCATACAAAAGCTATCATAAAATTTACGAACAATCTACCAACAATATTTTAGTAACATTTTCTTTAAATGAAAATCTTTTCAGTGCTCCTTATCTTGTTGTTTCATACAACAAGAATATTTGCCTTCAATGCAACATATGCTCTTTCTCCATCACTTCAACAATCTGTTCTGGACGAACATAACAGACTAAGAGCCCTACATGTAGACACTCCACCTTTAGTTTGGGATGACGCTTTAGCAAGTTTTGCACAAGATTGGGCTGCCAAATACGACTGTTCAGGCATTTTAACACATTCACAAGAACCATACGGTGAAAATTTAGCAATTGGCTACACAGCTATTGAAGCCACAGATGCATGGTATGATGAAATTCGATTCTATAATTACTCTGACCCTCAATACTCCGAAACTACTGGCCACTTTACCCAAATGGTTTGGAAAGATTCTAATAAATTAGGTTGTGCCCTTAGGAATTGTTACAATGCATGGACATTTTACTTTGTATGTGAATATGATCCTCCAGGGAATTATATTGGCGATTTTTCTTTCGAAGTTATGCCTTTGATCTCTAGTTTATCCAGTTCTACATCCAGTTCGTCTATAACAAGTACATCTATTGCTACTTCTTCTACTTCTTATGCAGATGTGTCCCAAATAGTAAGTAATTCTTTGGTAACTATACTCGAACCCTCTCCATATTCATCAAAGCTAGTGTCTACGGGTGCTATTTATGCAAGTAAAAGTCCTGCTGATGGGGGTGTCTCAAAACCACCTGAATTAGCCGCAGAATTTCAATATTCTTCCTTACAATCAGGTACCGGCTCAACCAGTGTTAGTCAAACAAGTATCTCTTCCAATAACCCCACTTCAACTCCAGGTTTTGATTCAACTGATACCAAGCTATTCAGTAATTCTTTTGCAGGATCGACTTTATCTAGTGAAACGGTATTATCACAAACTTTAGGTGCGACTGCGACATTGAAAATAGAAAAATCAACAATTACAAGTTTAGTCGCTACATCTCTCCAAACAGATGTAACAATTTTTTCAAGTTCTAGTACTTCGAGCATTACTCATATAACGACAACTTTGGAACCATTGTCTACTTCGCCAATGCTTTTGGTTGAGAACGAAGTTACCTCATGGTCCGCCCAAACTCCAACATATGCCAATCAATATAGTCATAGCCTGGCAGATATTAGTCGTCTACAACCAAGTGAGTCAGTCGTACAATTTATCAATAGCCAGAACATTAGTAACAATTCAACAATTGGATTTTCTTCGTCTACGTCAGGTTTGGATTGGTATAACAAAACGGAATCAATGGGGGTTTCTATTACCTCTTTCAAAATGTTAAGTACGGGTGGAGTCATGTTAAACAATACTTACAATAACACTACGAATAGTACGCAAAACAGTTTATTTCCTTCTATCAGAGGTAGCAACATTACAAGTAGTGATATTACCACCAGCAATATTTTAGCCAGTAACATTACATATAGTAATATCACATACAGTAATATCACACACAGTAATATCACACACAGTAATATCACACACAGTAATATCACATACAGTAATATCACACACAGCAATATCACATACAGTAATATCACACACAGTAATATCACATATAGTAATATCACACACAGTAATATTACACGGAGCAATATTACATACAGTAATATCACATTTAGTAATATTACAACCAGCAATATTACTCATAGTAATACCACTGCTTTATTATCCTCAAATTTCTCTTCCACTGCGTCTAAAGCCAGTGAAGCTAGTGTGATGACCGGTGTTAGTATCAATGTAACAACCTCAGGAACCATCCAAACTCGAGAATTAAATGGCCATTCGACTACATCGATCACATCACGTACAAAATCAGTGTCTAGTACAACTAAAAATGTTAATTCAATTGCTAATAATCACAATACAATAGAAAATAATTCTAAGACTGCTAAAGCAATTTCCAAAACAACAACTTCTTCGAAGTCGCAAGCTACAAAACCAAGTTCAAGTACAACAACTATTGTAGTCAAAAGTAGTACAACTGCTGGTAAAATATTGACTAAGAATGTAAGCAAAACATATAGTAATGATCCTAAGATTACTGAAGGTTACACTGGATTCCTATCACAAACTATAGCTACTATCAGTACTTCTACAGATGGTTCAAATCATTTATCTTTTGAAAGCAAAGGTTTCTTATGCGCCATTATCGTCCCTATTCTTTTATTTTAAAAAAGGGAATGCCTATAAATAGCATATAAAGTTATTATTCTAACTATTTCGTTGCTTACGAGCTATTCATTCACAATTTACATAATATCTAATAAATTTCTTAACTATGTTATTTTTTTATATAATTGAGCAACGATAAAATGATACATTTATTTAAATGATGAACATTATGTTTAATAAAACATACAAAAATATATGTGTTTATTCACACAATTTCAATCTAATTTCCTTTTTTAGTAACTCTTTTTGGTTTCATGAAGGAGCTATTAAAAATGACTGAAAATAGTTTAAAAAACAACAATTAGAAACAAAACTAAATACACTTCACGCTATTCCTGATATTGATGTCATTATTAACTAACTTAAAATTAATTATATTGAAGACAGCAACCATATCTTTTCGGCCCCTGACTCTTTTGATCGACTATTCATAATATTTATTTTTATTGAGAATGTCTCAAAGGGTACAAAAATAACAAGTAATATTTATTATATATTATTTAATTAAGAATACAAAGAGATCCCCAAAATAGTAATTATTCCTAATTGGTTTTAATTATAGGTACAACCTATCCCCTTCTCTAATATCTTATGGTTTGTAATTCAATTTGATTTGTTAAATTCATTTTACAATACAATTGTTTAGAAATTGGTTGGTTATTCCCGGGATGACTAAACCGAGCCGATAGAAAGGAAGTATTTACAACGAAGCAAAAAAGCATAAAAGCTCAAGAGAGAAACAGGCGATAAAGGGCAACTTTGTAATAACAATGCCAAGAGTAAACAGGAGACGGTGATTCAAAAGTCATACCTGAAAGTAAGTAAAATTTATTTGTAATTATGTTGGTATTCTACCAAAAGAAAAATCAGTAGATAGTATGAAAGAGTATATATAGGTATGTAAGACGGTTGCCACTTATTTTGAATCAATTTTTTTTGGCAGCTTTTTCCCCTGTCTACAGTATATGCAAGTGTTATCGGTCATAGAAAGTTGATATATCTACATATACAGCTATCGTATTAAACCAATAATAAGAGATCAAAAAAATAGAAATCGTTTTATTCCCTTTCGTTTTGCAAACAAATAAAAAAAAACTAATTTTGATAAATGAAGGTTACAGCAGTAATAATTGCGACTTTTGGATTATTAATTCCATTAGTTCAATCAGAGGCCGCACCCAATCCTTTTAAAACAGTTGGTATCCCTGAATATAAAGTAAGAAGCATACAAATACAAAAATAGAGGGAAAAAACGGACATTTTTAAAAAAAAATTGTTTTCAAGAGATCAATTCAATAACAGTTTCAAGGTAGTATTTACTTTATTGTAGCCTCATTATTTAGTCTAATATTTACACTAATATTAATCACTTTTGCAAAAGGTTATCATTTCCCTTGTTCTTAATATGAAAAAAAAGGGTTTCAATGATAATTACTTCTTTAACTAATCTAAGTATATATATAATATACAGTTCTCCAATTAATATCAATTTAGTTTTATTATCATGCTATTAAAAAATAGAATGGACCTATATTACTTTGTTCCCTAATAAATATACATATATATATTCAACTACCGAACCTAATTATACCTGTTCCAGACCACTAATTAACTAGCGTCACAATATGAAATCAAAAAAATGTAAATTTCTCTATTTGAAACAGTATTGTAAGACTTTCCCCAAGACTAAGAAGAATATCACAAAAAAAATTTGTAATCAGTAATATCGAAATTTTATTCATTCCGTGTGTCACTCGGTTGACCATCCCAATTACAAATTTTTTTTATCCTAAAGAGAGCATTCCTGGCCAAAGGAAAGAACAATAACTCTATTTCCTAATTTGTTCTTCTGCTAACAAGCTCTTCACTACGACCTCTTCTCCGAGCACTTTAATTTGATATACGCTCTCTCTTTCTATTAATTTCTTATTCCTGTTCTTGGCTGCCCCCTCTTCCCCTCCGAGTAAACAAAGTTCGCAGAAAAAAGAAAAGGCGCTGGGCGCGTTCTTTCGACTACGTGAGCCCAGCGCCAATTGTCAGTTTCTCAATTAGGAAAACCGAAAAGCGAAGTAGAAAAGACCCAAGAAAAAACAAAGCGGGTGAAACCGCTCCGTTCCGTTATTTTTTCGATAAAACGCAGCCAATTGATTTGTTTTCACCTCTCATAAGATGCTAAATTGGGTGGTTTCCATGGAAAAAGCTGGTCTTCAGCCCTGTAGATAACAGTCTATTATTTTTCCCACTCTGACAAGAGGCACAACAACTGCTATTTGTAATGGTTCATGTGCAGGCTCCAATGATTAAACAATCAAGAAGAAAGTCACTTGTATCAAAGAAAAGTCAATTTTTTCGAAAGACCTTTCTTTTTTCTTTTTCTTCCCTTATCGATTTTCACTTTTCGTAACTTCTCTCAGTTTCAATTACTGTTGTTTCTTAACTGTTTACTATTGTATTCTGGCTCCCGGAGGGAGGGATAAGGAGAAAATAATATTAGATATTAGACATGTATTTATTTACTTTCGCGAATACAAAGACAGGAAAAACTGTAAGGTCACACTATTATATTTCTACCTATTAAGGGTATGTAATTGGAAATTTCAAGAGATAATGACAATTTTTCTTTATTTCTACTAATCAAAATGGTGTAACCAAACGTTATTATCCAGAAAAGTAACTTGTCTATTCCTACAAAAACTTGGAAAATTATAGCGGGATCAAAAACATAAAACTAATACCGTTTTTGTTGTTGATGAATGCTTAGATAATTATTGCTCTTGCACAAAAATTTGTTAAACATGAACTTACTTCATTACTACAGGAGTACTACTGCTCTTGTATTAGCTATTTCCAATAACGTGCTGCGCATATTTTCTTGTTGCGCTTTTTGCCTCGCAAAAAAGATATACACAAGCGAAATTACCGGGAAAAAAAAAAGAAACATGCGCAGTACACGGGTTTTCGAACAGCCGAAGGAAAAAAGTTCAACAAACGTTCAGCATTTTCTCGAAGTGGTACAGCTTTTAAATGGATTGGATCGAAAAGGAGAGGGACGGGTCTGTGTTGACTCCAGGACATACATCAAAGTGCAAATCAGTAGTTTTACGGTTGCGGTGTTTAGAATTTTTAACCCAGCAACCGCAGCTTATTTCAAAAAATCATGCGACCATTTCCTTAGTTTCTGCTGGTAATTTTCTTGAATTTTTGTTAACCCATTGTTTGTGTTACATAAAATGATTTTTCGCGATGCTAATTAAGAATTCTTAACAAAAACTACGTATTATTTTTTCATGTGATATACGCTGGCAATTTTGCTTAGAATGGTCTGGATTTATTGAAGAACAATAGTACCCCGTATTTTTAATGGCAACAATAGATATATTCTTTCTTTCAACTTAGTTCCCATCTCAACAAGGTTAATATTGTCCCTCCTGTACTTGTCCCTTGTGGAAACTTTTTTTTCTTTCCTAGAGAAGTTTTTAATTCACAATTCAAATAATACTGAAAACTACCCACTTTTACGTAGTGCCAGTTTTTCTTTCCTTTTTATTGTGTTCCTTTGTTTATGTTTATCTTTTTGTATTTATTCTTTGTTTTTATTTTCTTTTATTTCTGCATAAAACTAGTACACATGATAACTCTCTCTACACAACTTCTTCGAAGAACTCCAAAAGACTGCGTACATAAAATGTACACACCATTGTAATCACTTTAGTCTCACTAACGTACATCATCCGTGGGTTATCCTTATTTTAATTTTCTTTCTTTCTTTTTCTAGTTTTTAAAAATGTTGATAATATTAGTTAATATTATGCAGTATGTACGTCCAAATATTTTGCTTAGAATTTTAAGACTCATATCATAAACTTTCTTTCACTTTGACAATAGAAACCCAGCACAAACCTTTTGCAAAACCAGTTCTACAAATATCTAAACTTTAATTGTTTTGCTCATTCTTCATCAAGAATAAACGTTGGTCCTTTTCTTTTGTTTTTGTTTTGGATTTTACAAAATAAACAAAAACAAAAACAAAAAACTCGAATGTTAAAGGTAATTAAGTAATTAACAAATTAATTTTTCTCTCTTCTTCTTTGTTTTTGTTTTAAGTTCCATAATTTTAAATTCTTATCATATTTTCCAAAATCATATATATATGGGTGTCAAATCTTACATAAGATCAAAAACTAAAACTCTTGCCTCATTCTAATTATAACTCATATCTCTTTTTCTATATTTAATTTATATATTATAATATAACATCAATACAAACCAACTAAGAAAATATCATCACTTAATAAAGTTACATAGTAACTATTTCAAAAAAATCATATACACATACAATAAATTAAATTTAAAAATGCAACTTAGTTCCAATATATTACTGGCGCTCGCTTACCAAATGGTAACTGTTTCTGCTTTCAATTCCACATACGCCATGTCTGCTGATGACCAAGCCACTGTTTTAAATGAACATAACAGATTAAGAGCCTTACATGTCGATACAGGTGCATTGACTTGGAGTGATACTCTAGCTGGTTACGCTCAAGATTACGCTGCTAATTACGATTGTTCTGGTGTCTTAACTCATTCTGATGGTCAATATGGTGAAAATTTAGCCATTGGTTATAGTGTTCTAGGCTCTGTGGATGCTTGGTACAATGAAATTAAATATTACAATTATTCTGCTCCAGGTTTCTCCTCAAAGACTGGTCATTTCACTCAACTTGTGTGGCAAGATAGTACAGAACTTGGTTGTGCCATTAAATACTGTGGTGACGTCTGGCACAATTATGTTATCTGTGAATATAACCCTGCAGGTAATTACATTGGTGAATTCGCTGATCAAGTCCAACCTTTGATTGCTAGTGTCGCTGTTTCATCTACATCTTCATCTACTTCTTCTACATCATCTACAGCTACTTCAAGTTCCACAAAATCATCTTCTAGCTCCTCTATTTCAAAATCATCTACCTCTTCTACATCTAAATCTAGTTCTTCAAGTTCATCATCTTCAAGTACTTCCAAATCTTCTGAATCCACCACTTCATCAAAATCTAGTTTGATTACTTCTTCTACTGCTACCACTTCATCTAAAGATCAACGTGCTATTGCCTCTGTCGCTGCTTCAATTAAATCCAACAGTAACTCTATCAGCAGTAATCTAACTTCTTCCAACACTTTAGATGCTGATGAAAGATCTGCTTCTACCACTGTCTCTATCACTTCATCTTCTGCTATTGAAACTACCACAAGTGGCATTGCTACTATTACTTCTGGTTCTAACGAAAACAATGAATCTGCTGCCATCTCTGTTGTCACTGATACTGTTCATGCTAAGAGAACCACTACTCAAGTTATTACTCATTGTTCGGACAATGTCTGTACTGAAGCTACTATGGTGGCTACCGTAGATGATTCAACTACTGATGCTAACAACAATGCTGTTGATGCTATTGAACACGAGACTACTGCTGCTGCCACTGAACAAACTGTTACTACCGTCAACGAAGAAGGTACTATTACCACTACAGTTAAATGTTCAACTTCTGAAGCTACTACTACTACTCCAGTTCAAATTACTTCTACCATTACTCAGAATGCCGAAAATGAAGCTACTTCAATTAACACTGAAGCTGATATTGTCAGTCAATCATATTTTTACTCCAATAACACTGGTATTCAATATAGTAACACTACCGAAACTACAGTCACTACCGTTACTCATAAGACTACTAAAATCTCAACTTTACCATGTTCTAAATGTACAGCTGTTCCAACTTCAAAATCTTCAAGCAGTATACGTGAAGAGTCCAGTCATATTACCATTGTTGAACAACTTTCTATGACTAGTTCTGTCATTAGTTATTCATCCATTGCTAATAACACTTCATCTGCTAAATCCATTGAAGCATACGAAGGTATGGCCGCTCAACTAACTGGCTGGAACAGTTTCTCATTAGCTATTATAGTATCTGCATTACTATTGTAAGCATCTTAGAATTTTAAAAAAAAAGCATATGAGATATTCTCAAAACAAACAACATTATAGGAATTAATAAAATAAGTTTTCTACAAAAACACAATCGTTTGTCTTTTTGTATTGTGAGTGTGGCTTAGAAAAAGTCTCGAATACTTAGACTCTACCTATAAAACATCATTCATATCAAGTGTACATTACATCACTCACCATAAAAACGATAGATATGGAATGAAAGACATTTTTACAATATATACCAAGCAAATATTCACTACGTAATTCTAAAAAACATTAATAAAAAAAGTTAGATAAATATTAGAACTATTGTCATCATCGTCTATATGCATTGTAAACGATCGTAAGGATGGCTCAATTTAGCCTTGTTGTGAAGCTTTATATTACTATGTCTTCCTTCCCATTCAACGAGACTTATGCATTAGCTACGTACGTAATCTTGGCTGCAAGTAACAGAAGCAAAGAAAAAAAAGAAAAAAGAAATTGGCACTTCCATCATCAACTAAATAAACGTACATCCTAAGAAGAAAGAAAAAAAAAAGGCTTCGACCTTCGAAGTTCAACGAAGTTTGAACTCCTTCTAGCCTCTTGATGAAACAAAAACTGGTGCCACTTATGTCTTCTTTCTGTTTTTGTCGTTAATTAATGATCTCCTATTTCCTAATTAGGATAAATTACATAGTTGTAAACGACAATTTCAACTTTTTCTCTTCCCGTCGTTCACGTTTTTTTGGACATGTAATAACAATACCGCATTAGGAAAATCCTAGATCTTGCAGCTTTTGAAAAGAGGGGTGTATGTAGTGCGTGGGTGTTTCTTTTTTTTCTTTTCTCCGCAAGTTTAATGCAATGCACACCTTTTGGTGTTCGATTTCTTCCGTTTACTCGGAAAGAAAAGAAATAAAAAATTGTGGCCTAGCCGGAGGCTTACATGTGGGGTGTGTGGGTGGAGGTCACATCGTTGAAAGTGATGGCCGTTTTATTTGGATCTATTTTTTTTATACTGTTTACGCCGAAGAGGAAGCAGAGAAAGTAAAAAGTCCAAATAGTCGGAGTCGTACCTTGATATTGCCCGTTTGGGAATAGCCATACCTCTTTGGGTCCTACGATTTAGTGGATTGCTTATAGTAAACGATTAGTTCATCAAATGGATCAATAAAATGAACAATTTCTATTCATGTAACAATATTTATATATATAAGGATAAATAATTTCGAATATTTAAATTATAATGCGTTTTCTTTTTTTGGTATTAATAATATATATTTTCTACTTCTATTTTTTGGTGTTTTCTTAATATATGAATTTTTTTTAAAAAAACCATCGACACATTTTATTGTATTTATCACATTTAATAAATTTTATTTTATTTTAACGTCTTTCCTTTCTATTACGTTTTAATTTCGTTCATTTACGCTATAAACAAAACATACATTCCTTCCTTTTTTGGTATTTGTTTTATTTTCAACTTAGCAACCTTTCATTCCTTAATAATAATCTCCTTGTATTTTTTATTACATTAAATTTAATCCGTCCTTTCTTTAATATACAATTATGAAGTTCTCTAAATCCACTTTGCTAACCGCTTTAACTGCTTCCACTGCCCTAGCTGCTCCAGCCGTCGTCACTGTCACTGAACATGTTCACGAAGACGCTGTCGTCACTGTTCAAGGTTTCGTTTACCAACACGATGGTGCTTGGACTACCACCTATGTTACTTTGAACGGTGTTGCTCAAATTGCTACTGCTTCTGCTACTACCTCTGCCGTCGCTGCCACTACCACTAAGGCTAAGGTCACTGCTGTCGCTGCTACTAACGTTCAAAAGGCTTCCTCTTCCAAGGATGCTGTTCAAGTTACTGCTAAGACTACTTCTGCTAACGCTGCTGCCGTCACCGTTACTGCTAAGGGTCAAGATGCTACTGTTCAACAAACTACTACCATCAAGCCAAGTGTCACTCAAGAATATGACACTACCCCAAGAACTGTCACCAAGACTTCTACTACTACTCGTCCAACCGAATCTGTTAACTTGTCTGACTTCGCTTCCTCTATGTTAGCTGAACATAACAAGAAGAGAGAACTACACAAGGATACTCCAGATTTAACTTGGTCCGAAACTTTAGCTTCTTACGCTCAAAACTATGCTGACAGTTACGACTGTTCCGGTAACTTGGTTCACTCCGGTGGTCAATACGGTGAAAACTTAGCTGTTGGTTACGGTACCACTGGTTCCGTTGATGCTTGGTACAACGAAATATCTAACTACGATTTCTCTAACCCAGGTTTCTCTTCTAACACTGGTCACTTCACTCAACTGGTCTGGAAGAGTACTACTCAAGTCGGTTGTGGTGTCAAGTCCTGTGGTGGTGTCTGGGGTGATTATGTCATCTGTTCTTACGACCCAGCTGGTAACGTTTCTGGTGAATATGCTGACAATGTTGAAGCTTTAAACTAGATTCTTCCTACACACGAAAACAGAAACGCACATAATGTACATGTACCCACTATATAAAATTTAAATAGTAATTTTTAAAGAACAATAACAATACCCCCATCTTCTTTTAACCTTAACGAAAATCCTTATTCATTTGTTGTTGATGTTATGCCTATTATAGGACTAGCTAGGGGAAAAGAAATTATATCGCCCGCTAGTTATTTCGCGTCGTGTATTCTCGATTTCCTCCCTGCAGGTCCACAGTCAGTCCCGTGGAGAAAAAAACAGAGAGAGAGAGAGCACGCGACGATCAACATCACTCAGTTTCTTCTCATACAATAACTGGATTTGGAAGGGAGTCCTAACAAGAATGCTTCTATTATCGTAAGTTCCGTGAGGAGGGCTATCAACATATTTAGATATATATCAGGGACAACTTATCGGTCTACATATTGTAGTATGATCAGATACTTTAGCTTTGGCAAAAATTAATTGCATTTGTCACGGTGCTCACCGAATTCTAAATTGGGGGCATTTTATTCTTGGGGGGGAACTCTTTTCTCGGCAAAAGAATTGAGCGTTCCCCCATCTATACCCCCCATACGAAGCACAGAACCTAACTTTTTTTCACAAACCGGGGGGGGCCGGCCATTTCTCTTTTCTCCGCTTCACGTGACATCACATCACACGAACACGGTCGGCGTATCACGTGCTTTCTCGTACAACACGACCAGTCGCTCTCTCTATTTTTTCACTTCATTTTCTGCTGAGCACAGCACACCGAAAAGAGAAAAAAAAAATCGAAATTTTTCACCAAAAATAATTGCCACGTCTTCTTCGGATTTTTTTGGTGTTAACCACGCAAAATTTAGTTGGCGGTGGACATCTTCTGAAAAATGGTTAACGCGTCTCGTTGTTCTTTCTATCCAGAATATATAATATTTCAGTTTTTAAAGGTAAAATTGAAATCAGTAAATTCTTATCAATTAGACTACAGTTGTTACTACAATTTCTATTCTTAATATATATACTTTTTTTTAACTTTAGATAGATCAATAACTATTTTTTTAACTAGTTTCTCATATCCAATCATATTTTTTTTGTACTAAGATATAACTACCTTTCCTTTGGTAAAAAACATCAAACAAAAAAACAACAACAGGCAAATTAATTTTTAACTTTTATTTTCGTTTCTTTCAAATAAATCCTGTCTTTTTAATTTATACATATTAAAAAGAACCATTGAAATAAATACTAATAAAAAGTTTATAATATAGCCAGTTACAAGTATTTAGAGATTCACTATAACTTATATCGGATTCTTCATTGATCTCCGTAATTTATCTCTTTTACTTTCTTTTCAACCGAATTAACAAAGTGTTTTACCACTAATATATACTATTTGTGTGTTCCATATATTTGTTTCTTTTTTCTAAATTAATTATCGGTTTATTTACGTCGGTTTCACTTGATTACAACTTTTTCCTCCCTTTTTATTTTTCGAAATGTCACATTCCTCTGATATCGTAGATACTTCAAATATTGCTAGTTTATCTACTAGTACCATCCCTGCTGCTACTTCTACCACTACTGCTGAACTTTCCAAAGAAAATGCCGCTCCAGAGACTCCAAAATCTTTACCATCTTTAAAAGATTTACCATCTTTAGGTTCTTCTAATTCAATTGCTTCTAGTAATAAAGTCTCTTGGGGTCCAAATATGAAACCTGCTGCATCAATTTCTTTAGCTCAAACCAAGAAAAATGTTGCAGCTAAATTGGCAGCTGGTAATAATCGTTTAAAGACAATGCAAGAAAATTTTACTTTAGATTTACAATCTCAATTAGCTATGACTAAACAAGAATTATCTAAATTAGTTTCATCAATTAAACAACATCATAATGTTTCAATGGAATCCACTTTAGCTAAAAATTCAAGAACTTTTTTGATTTCAGGGCTTGTTAACGATGTTAAAGAAGCTAAACGTGAATTGATTAAAGGTTTAACTAAACCTGTTAATGATAAATTCGAAGTTCCAGCTAAATGTAGATCTGTCATTATTGGTTCAGGTGGTAAGACTATTCGTGAATTATCTTCTAAATATGAAGTTAAAATTAATGTCGCTAAAGAAAATATCGAAAATTCTTTCGATGAAGATTTAAACGATGAAATGTGTTACGTGACTTTATACGGTGATTTTGAATCTGTTAAGATGGCTAAAGAAGATATTATGAACATTGTTAAAGAAGATACTAAGAATGCTAGTGTTAAGATTGTTGTCGATGATGCTAATTTATTACCATTCTTATCCGCTTCTGCTATCGAAAAATTAGTTTCTTCTGAAACTAAAGTCTCTTACTATCCAAATGGTGATTCTGCTGACATTGTTATTCAAGGTTTACGTGAAACTGTTAAGAATGATAAATCTACTGTTCAAAAATTCTTAAACTCTTTGGCTACTGATATTGTTGAACAAAAGATTAAAATCCCAGCTAAATTCCAAACTGTTATCGATGCTAATGCTTTAATGGAACAATTCAACGTCATTGTTAAATTCCCAATTGAAGCTGATGATGAATTTGTCTCATTCATTGGTCAAGATGCTAACGTTAAGGAAGCAATCACTGCTGCTCGTGCTTCATCAAAGACTTATTCCGTTGATTCCCTAGATATCTCAAAGGCTCATTCTAACAACGTTACCCATGCTAGATATTTGGCTATTTACTTCAACAAGTACGAAAATGCTTTAAAACCTATCTTAGATCAATACCCATCCGTTAAGATCACTTTACCAACCATCAAAGAATTAGCTGATAAGGACTTAGCCTCTGTTAACATCTTTATTAGCGCTAAATCCGAAAATGTCGATGAAATTAAATCTGTCCGTAAAGAAATTATTGGTTTTGTTAACAATATCACTCCAGCTGACACTTTGATCATTACTGATCTGGATTATGAATTATTCCATGGTCAAATTAAACACACTTTGCTAAGTACCGAAGCTAAGACTGCATTCATTCAATTAGGTGACTATATTCAAGATGATGACACCGTTATCTTAATTGCTCAACCTTCTGACGATGATTTCAAACCATCCATGCAAGAAATCCAAGATTCTCTAACTGCTGTTAACAACTCTTTAGAACCACTACGTACTAAACAAAACAGTATGGAGACTAAGGTCTTTGAAATTTCAGCCGATAACCAAACTAAATTGTTCGGTACAGACTCTGTCAACAAATCTTTGATCCTAGATGACGTTGCTAAGGCTAACGGTCACATTCAATTCAAGAGCCACACTCCACACAAGGACCAATTGACAATCAGGGGTGATGACAAATCTATCAAATTAGTATCTAATATCATTGAAACTATCATTGCTCCAGAGGCTAAGAAGGATAAGATTGTTGTTGAAGTTCCATCTAACACCGTCCCAAGATTGGTCGGTAACAAGGGATCTAACCTACAAACCATTCGTGATAAATTCGATGTTCAAGTCGATATTCCACACGCCGACTCTCAAAGCCAATCTACTCCTGTCCCTGTTACAGTCACTGGTTTTGATTACAATGTTACTCATGCCAAGAACTATATCTTAGCTGAAGCCAAGAAATGGGCTGACATTGTCACTAAGGAAATCGTTGTTCCATTGAAATTCCACAGAAATATGATGGGTCCAAATGCTTCTTACAGAAACCGTCTACAAGAGAAATACAGTGTTCATATCAATTTCCCAAGAACAAGTGAATTAGTCACCGTTAGAGGTCCATCTCGTGGTGTTAAGGCTGCTTACGAAGAATTAAAGAACCTATTAGACTTTGAAATGGAAAATGGTCACAAGGTTGTTATCCAAGTTCCAGCTGAACAAGTTCCTCGTGTCATTGGTAAGAATGGTGACAACATCAATGATATCAGAGCTGAATATGGTGTCGAACTAGATTTCTTGCAAAAGAACTCTGACGAGAGTGTCAAGGAAACTGGTGTTGTTGATTTGGAGATCACTGGTACAAGAACTGCCATCAAGGAAGCACAAGCCAAGGTTGAAGAAATCGTCAAGGAAGCCGAAAACTTTACTTCAGAATCAATTAACGTTGACCGTAAATACCACAGAGTTATTGTTGGTGCTGGTGGTAGTAAATTAAGAGAAATCATCAGCAATGCTGGAGGTGATGATATTAGAAACAAGACCATCGATATTCCAAATGCTGATGAAGAAAGTGATGTTATCACTGTCCAAGGTCCAAAGACTTTTGTTTCCAAGGTTATCAAATCTATTAACAAAATTGTCGAAGATGGTGAAAATTCCATTACTAAGGAACTAGAAGTTGCTAAGGAAAGACAAGGTGCCCTTGTTGGTCCAGGTGGTATGGTCCGTCGTCAACTGGAAACTGAATTTAACGTTACAATTCAAGTTCCAAATAAGGATCAAACCGGTCCAGTTACCGTTACTGGTTTAGCTGAGAATGTTGCTAAGGCTGAAAAAAAGATCAAAGAAGATATCCTAAAGGATGACTTCGATGTCGAACTTCAAGTTCCAGCTGCTGTTCACCAATTTGTCTCAGAACGTGGTGCATTAATTCAAAAGTTGAGACTTGACGATTTTGTCAATGTCAAACATGGTAACGCCAACAGAAGAGCTAATAAGATAAACAGATCCAAGCTGGTGATTCCTGTAGAAAAAGTACGTGCTGAAGAAGGTTCTGCTCAAAAGGTTAAGATCACTATCGAAGAAGTAGGTGAACCAAGAGACGATACTGAAGAAGGTGACATCCCATGGAGATTAACTTACGAACCAATTAACTTTGACGAACTTCTAGGTGACAGTGCCGGCGAAGACAAGGAAACAAAACCAACAGAACCTGTTAAGCCAACTGCTGAAAAGAAGAAGGCTGCTCTTGACAAGGCTACAAAGATCATCGAGGACAGAATTGCTTTAGTTAAGGATGCCACTTATGTCTGTTACGTCTGGACCTCTGAATTCAAGAACTTCAATAGAATTGTCGGCCCAGGTGGTTCCAACATCAAGAAGATCAGAGATGACACCAATACCCTAATCAACATTCCAAGAAAGAACGACCCTATCAATGATGTTGTGTACATCAGAGGTACCAAGGAAGGTGTCACCAAGGCTGCCGAAGCCATCGTTAGAGGTCTAAATTAAAACTAGCATTGTTATTCATTGATAGAAATGAACCAAATTTACGAACTAGGACCCGCGTGGTTCGATCTGTAAATTACTCTTTATGTAATCCCTATGTATACGTACTATTTAATAACAAAAAAAATGGCGATAGAAAACCCATTTTATCATTTTATAACGTTGTTCATCGATACTACTCATTTTCGAGGTTGCCGTGCATTCTCCCATCGGGAAACCTCTTGTGGGCGAAACGAAAAAACAAACACAACAAACAGCGAAACAAACAAATGTCGTCAAAAGTTCTTCAATTTTAACGAACTTATAAAACAATATGTTAAAGAGAGGAATAAATAACCTGGCGATACCAAAGAATAAAACTAGCTAAGTTATTTATATAACTATCGAATTACCAAAGTAGAGACCATTTTGTTTAATACGTTTATCAATCATGTCTAATCCTGCTTTACAAGTGTACGGTGGGGATGAAATATCTGCAGTCGTGATCGACCCGGGCTCCTACAGAACTAACATAGGGCTTGCTGGCACTGACTGTCCAAATGTCTCAATTCCTTCACAATATGGTTGTTATAAGGAAGATACCTCAGCTGGCGACAAAAGTGAAGAGAATGATAAGGAGGATAAGGCAGACATTGATAATAATATGAATAAGAAGAAACATGTCTTTCCCGAACAATCTATTGCATTCCCTAGAAAGGATTATGAAATCAAGCCTATTGTTGAAAATGGTGTAGTAACGGATTGGGATGTTGCACAGGAGCAATGGTCATGGGCTCTTGAAAAAGAAATGTACCTGGAATCTAACAAGGGTATGCCAGTTTTATTAACTGAACCGATATGGAATCCAGTAGAGAACAGGAAAAAATCATTAGAAGTATTACTAGAGGGCCTAGAGTTCGAGGCTTGTTATCTGGCATCTACCGCATCATGTGTTTCTTTTGCTGCTGGTAGGCCTAACTGTCTAGTTATAGATATAGGGCACGATACGTGCAGTGTAAGTCCTGTTGTAGACGGTATGACATTATCAAAGAGCACTATGAGAAGCCCGTTTGCAGGGAAGTACATGAATCATCTTTTAGATAAATATCTGGCACCAAGAGAAATAATACCATTATTTGCTGTTGCTCAAAAGAGACCTGAATTTAAAAAGAAAGAATTTTCATTTTCAGTGGATCCATCACTGTATAAATTCGCTAATAACCATGAAATATTCCAAGAGATGAAAGAGACCCTTTGCCAAATATCACCTGATGGTCCCTTAGAAAATATGAAGGATCAACTAGAAAGCCAAGCAAAAAGATCAATTGAAACACAATGGGGAGAAACTATTGTATTCGATAACACCACAAGATACGGATTTGGCGAACAACTTTTCAATGTTAAAAGTGATGATGTTCCATCTGACTGGGAAATATCTAAAGATGGTACTGTTGAAACATGGCATAATGACTACGTTCCTTTGAAAAGAAACAAACCAAGCGGTGGCAATAAAGACGCGTCTGTGGCTCCTAGTGAGAGTAGTGTAAATCCAGATGAAACACCAAACGAAAATGGTAAAAGACCTTTAGGTGTAAAGAAAAATGATATAGCAGGAATAGCAGACCTAGCTTACCTATCTATTATGGCAAGTGATGTAGATTTACGGGCCTCCTTGGCACATAATATTGTCCTAACTGGTGGATCATCCCAAATACCGGGATTAGGTGACAGACTAATACATGAGCTAGGGGGTAGACTTCAAGCACTTAAATTCAGAATAATGTCATCTGGTCATACCAGCGAGAGACAATACCAAAGTTGGTTAGGTGGTAGTATCTTGTCTAGTTTAGGTACCTTCCATCAATTATGGGTTGGCAAAGAAGAATATGCCGAAGTTGGTGCAGACAGGTTATTGACAGATAGATTCAGATAATGGACAGCAATTATACGCTCTGTATTATGTAAGATAATTAGAATGCGGAAATTGAAATATGATCGCTCTCTGGGCAGTGCTCAAACAATGAGACTGTCAATAATTGATGAATGGCGCTATTTGAAGATAATTTAGGAGATATGATGACGAATTAGACCTTAAGGATCCACATATAATATATATACATGTATTTATAAATACTCAAAATTAAAACGGTAATTAGTAAAAAGCGAATGAAAGTGGAAATAACTTCCCAATTTTCAGAAGACAGTATACCCTGTTAAATACCTTATATCTCAACTATTATCTTTGAGGCGTTGTATTTTGGCATAAAATATGTTCAGTGAAGGATGACAAAAAAAATTCAAAAGATTAACTTCAATATTTAGAAAGGTGTCTACCAAAAACAGATAATCTACCGGGTTGATATATTTTAAACACGGAACCACAATATATAATTTTCTTTCGTAGGACTTTAACCTATAACATTCTCTATACATACCCAGTTTTATAATGTTTAATAAAGGTAAATATCACCCAATAAGCAATTGATCACTGTTATCAGATATTTGATTGAAATTTCATTTAAAAAGTCGTATAGTTATGTTTAGGGGCTCATGCCGATAGAACAATTCAAACTCTTATCGTCCCCAAGGTTATTTAGGCTACACCTTCTTAATAGTTATCTTATTCATCGAATTCCCCTCAATATTGAGTATAGTTCAAATTGATGTTATTTGAAATGCTGGTTACTGAATAATTGAACGTTGTTAACACTGAAAACTGTAGAGAATCTGAGTTAGAGTTTTTACTCTCAGTTGATTCCTTAATTTCTTGTTTGTTAGTTAAATGTAATTCGGACATTTTTTGATATGATAATTGATCGGTTATTTTAAATTATATAATCTTCAAATTACTTAATCATAAATATTTCTTATTTTACAATAATGGCTTTATATATACCATTAGTTTTTCTTAAACAACTCACCTGCATATATTGCTGGTTTGTTTTTATTTTTTATGTTTTGTGCTGGTTTAAATATTTTTGCTGGTCTCTTTACAATATTGCTAATTATTTCTTTACAATATTTTTGGACTAAGTGTCACAGTAAGTTACCCTTAGTTTCTGACAAAAACATAGCATTAACAACATTTTTAATGCAAAATCTAATGTTTCGACAAATTAACTTAATAAAAAGAAAAAATCCCCATATTTGCTCCCAAATATTTGAAAACGATGTTATTGTTGGAAATTATATAACAGTGTGACACACAGTGATCTTCGTACAATGCGATATTGCTGTGAAAATTTCTGTATATAAAGGAACCCGTTTTCCAAATTATATAGAATTATATATTACACTTTCTCACATCTCTCTCTGATAGGAGGGAGAGGAGCTCTGCTGCTAGCAACGGACACCTAGTCCTGACCTACAGTAAATATATATACTATTATTATTCTCTAATTCCCAGTTTTCCGACATGGTAGCGTTCTATCGAGGTTTGCTTGAGTAGAGGTCTAACCAAAGATTCGAGGATGATGAATCCAATAAAAAAGGAAGCTGTGAGAATTCCCATTCGGGTGGTATATATACGTAGTCAATCACACTACAACCAATCGGGATGCCACATACTCCTTCCAAGAATACGCTTAATTGTAATTATTTGGTGGTGTCCCAACCAAAGTTTTTTTTTTAACATTTTGCCACTTACCATGTTTTCTTTCGAACAATTTTGAAAAATTTTCATTGTTGAAATTTTTCAATTACATATGTTACAACGACGCTGTCACACACCGTTGTCTCAAGACCATGTGTGCAGTTTATGTCAAAACTATAACTCGTTGCTAACTCACTTTTGCTAAGAGACAAAAGCAAATCATCTAAGACACGTTATCGACATGTATTTTACTCTACTAACAACTCCCAATTGATTTCTATTCGCCGGTAGGCCTCGAGATTAACGATCGTCTTCCCCCTGTGGAAGTATCCTTTCTGATAACGATCATCCGACGCCACTATTATGAGATCCAGACACCTGCAAGAGCATTTTATAGGCCAAGCTGATGAATCCAAATCGAGAGCCAGCACTCCAACTATGCTACTTATTATATTATGGTAAAACCTGATGAATCCAAACGTGAACCAGTATTCCACTTTAGCTGCTTATGATACGGTAAGACTGATGCATCCATACGAGAACCCAGAATCCCGGTACAGCACATTATACAGGCAGTTCTGCATCTTCATCAACGCAAACTAGATCTGCATTCTTTTTGCGATCACCTCATAACAATTATTGTACATTATTATCGTTTAGTTAGACGTTACAATCAAGATCATAACCTCTGAGCTTAGACAAGTTCCCAAGTCCCTGACCTGCGTGCTTCGACTACATAATTAAAGAACCATCCAGGCAAACTTCATTTAATCTCTATCTACTCATTGTTCATATTAATACAAGAAACAGGCAAGCTTTGGAATAATCATCGTACTGTGTGCGTGATTTTTTATATCTTTGGATTCATCACTGCGCTAACGAATGTTGATTTTGAACATTCACTCACCACGTAATTGTTGTTACGGGTGGTAATTCACACCATGCTTCTATGCCAACAATCAATTTATTTTGTTTTTCTGAAACTGTCTTATTTTACAAAACCGCTTTGGGTGGTATATTTTATATAGGTAAGATCAAGATGACTTTTATTTTTAGAAATAAATGATATAGAAAGCGAATTTGGTAAAAGTATTCCAGTTAACCATTTCCACAGAATATACACATTGTGGGTGGTATGTTGGAAATTATATCACAGTGTGACACACAGTGATCTTCGTACAATGCGATATTGCTGTGAAAATTTCTGTATATAAAGGAACCCGTTTTCCAAATTATATAGAATTATATATTACACTTTCTCACATCTCTCTCTGATAGGAGGGAGAGGAGCTCTGCTGCTAGCAACGGACACCTAGTCCTGACCTACAGTAAATATATATACTATTATTATTCTCTAATTCCCAGTTTTCCGACAGTTATAATTGTAGCCATATAATGTACATTACTAAACTGGTTATTATACCTCTATGTTAAAGCAAAATAACCTTTAATTTGATAAAATCGACCTTTACGGTATATTTTTGTTTAAATTTTCTACTCCAACATTTATCCAAATATTCAACTAAAAAATCCCAATTAGTATCCGATATAGTGTAACGGCTATCACATCACGCTTTCACCGTGGAGACCGGGGTTCGACTCCCCGTATCGGAGTTACTTTTTTGGCGTAACACACCACTCGATAGTCGCTGAAACTACTGTTGGCTTAGTTTTTTTATCCAACGATAAGATATAGAACTGTTCCATTTGAATTAAAGATATTTTTTTTTAAAATTAAAGCTATATTTATTTCTAAGTTATTTTAGTGTATATATATAGGAAGATATGTAAAATTATTTTCTGCATAGATAGTAAAATGTTGCCCATTCAATCTTTAAAGGTTGAGTTAAGGAATCAATATGGCATTGTTCTTGAAATTCAGCAATAAATTGGTCTGCAATGTCAGGTTCACCTGGATGATCCCTTGTCCAACTGGTGTAAAGACTCCAACTTTGAACAAACTTCTTAAAATCATTCAGTGTAATAGTACCTTCCATTAAAAATGATGGGATGGTCTGATTGGTAAACAGTCCATCATCCTTGAATTCATTAACAATTTCATGGTAAACATCCTTAAATCCATATTGATTTAATTTAATATTGACGTCATTACCGCCAAAATTTGTGAAAAATTTTCTTTGGTAATCAGTTAAATACTTTCCCATATACTCATCGGTCCAACAGTATTTAACATACAAATCATGTGCTGCACGTCCTAAATCAATAAATTCTGGTTGAACATAAAACCAAAATGCAAATGTGCCCTGTGGTCTTAACACTTGATTAACTTGACCAAACACTTTGTCCAAGTCACACCAATGAATGGACTCGGCACCAATTACCATATCAATAGAGTTTGGCTTAATACCACTTTTAATCAATTCTTCACCATTAATTGAGGCAAACTCTAATTTAGGGTAATTCTTTTTAGCAACTGATAACATGCTATCAGAAGGATCTAAACCGACAGCATGTTTAAAATGTGGCGCGAATAGCACTGTACTGATACCTGTTCCACAACCCACATCGATTAATTCGTTACAAGAACCCTGATGATAATCCATAATCTTGTCCACTAAAGATTGCGGATAAGATGGACGAACGTCATGATAACGTTGAGAATCGAAATCTTTAACGCTTAGGTAACTTGTTTCTGGCATTTTCACTGAAAAGAATAATAAAGAAAATGATAAGATCACTTGAAGAAGAAGATAAGTTATATAGATATATTTACGAGTTACTTATGTAGTGAAAATAACTGTTTGATTGTTGTTTTGTGTCAGTCAACTGAGAAATAACGAGTACTAAGTTCCAAAGAAAAACCTCTTTTCCCTTTTAAAAAGGTCTTCAAGTTAAGAAGCGAAACCTTCCTCCCTTTTATATTCCATGAAATGTTGCTCAAGTAAAGAAAAATTTAAGTGCCGACACGGAGAATCATTTGCGAAATTTTTTGGTTTGTAATGTTTACAAGCCGAAGCGTGGGGGAGATGACCTCTAGGACAACCAAAGACGTGGGGGTCATAAGTTTAATGAATTTACTTTCTTTTATGTAATTACCTAAATGAATGATGAAATAAATCAAATTTATCAATAAAATCAAACCAGGGTTTATGATTATATAAATCTATACATGTGCGTAAATGATGTTTATAAAGTCCAAGAAACAAAGAGGTTAATTTAGAATCAATTTCATAGCGCCTCCTCTACTCTATCTAGGGCTGCCTTTATCTTCATCGAGATCCGGGTACTTAGTTCATAATCATCTGCGTAATTTTGGGCTCTTACTAACCACTCTCTAGTTTCTGTTAATTTCTTTACGCCACCTTCTTTCCAACTAAACAAGGCTCTTTCATATAGGGCAGTTGGATACGCCCATGGATCGTTGGTTTTCTTACTATATTTCACTTTACCATTTTGTAACGTAAAGATTTGAGGTAAAACTTTCTTGTCAAGTAATTCACAACCTTCTTCATATTTTTGAAGTCTACGCAATGTGATGGCTAACAATAAGTTGTTGACCAATTCTTGATCTGGGTCATGTAATGCTGTAGCCTCATTTTGATATTCAGTTAATAATCTCTTCGTCACAATCAAACTATCATTGGTCATTCTATTGTAACCATTATAAAAATACATAATCTCATGAATAGGAGACGTAGCAATGGCATCAACTATAGATTCACAACCTAATTTAGATTGTGTTGCCTTGTATTGATTAACTTTTCTTGCCATGAATCTATCAAGTGGTAAATTTTTGGATCTAAACGTTTTCTTTGATAATAAATCAGGTGCACTTAAGAGTAATTTCTCTGCACGTTCTTTATAAACCACTGAATTTTCAGAATTAATAATCTTTAATTCACATTGTCTCCATTTCTCTAAATAACAACAGCCAGCAAAATAAGTGTAAAAAGCATGCGACCAATCACTGAAACCAGTTAAAAAAATTAATTCTTCTGCAGCTCTTTCATATTCATGCAGGTTAACCAAAGTGTTAGCTCGATCGAAGACCATCAGAACTTTCACTTGTCTCATATGAATTTGATTCACATCAATGGAATCCATAAGTGTCATAGAATCGCTTAATCTCCCTTTGGCTGAAAGCATTCTGGCTTCATTCAATAACCACAGTGCACTATGAGGAAATAGGGCCCTTGCTTGTAACAAAGAATTTTCTAATAATTTACCTGGGTGTAATAATTTTTCATTAGTCATCAAATTGAAATCGTTAGGGTTGGTATAATTTCTATTTATTTCAGCAGTATCTTTATCATAATGAGATGTAGGAATATCAAAGTCATCATCTATAAATTGGAATGGACCATCATAATAAAACATTAATGCCAATAGGCCAATGCAACCATGAACGTTTCTTTGCCTTGTGGACTTCCATATTAACCTTAATCCCTCTTCTCTAGAGCCTTTAAACCCTACTATAGACAATACAGCACCAACAGCAGGTGGAATCAATGATAAAACAACTTGTAAAATACCGTAACATAGATTAGCACCAGAGGCAATAAATTCATCGATCGTAGCTTGATTTAGATCATACTCCTCAGCTATATACGATTCTTCTGTCATATTGGTACCTTGTTTATCAATTTTCTTTGTTGTATATAGACCAAGATCATCTCTCAGTCTGTTAAAAGCTGGCGAATTATCAATATGAGAACCTGCCAAACGACCAAATCGCATGTCCCGTATCCTTTCTGCAAGTGCAATTAATGAGTCATCACATCTTTGTTCTTCTGTTAATTTATATGGAATATCGACGGATGTAAATGTAGTAGCATCTGATAGAGAACTTGTTTCTGATTCACTTGGAGTCTTACTTCTTCGCCCACGATTACTACGATCACCGGTACTGCTGCTCTGAGTACTACAACGACTACTTTCGTTACTAGTCGAAGATATACCGTCTGAATGGGTTGCAGAATCCACCCCATTTACAGGTTTTTTCATCTCAGCTTTGTGAACCAATTGGATGATTTGTGAAAGCATCGAATAAGCTTTTCTTAATTTAAATAACGCTTTAGCAGCCTCAACGAGACTTTCACTAAATAACATTAATAATGAATGTAATAATAAGGACTCTGTATATGTCACAGCGTAGACGGTCCCAGGTGGATATACCGAACTACATTTAAAGTTTTGCTTTTCATCATCGGTCTTGCTCTTCCATGATAAGTCTTCTGCTCTCATCAATGTCTCTGTAGCCTTTTTCATCTCTTCATGCTCGAAACTTAATGTAGCTTGCAGAAATTCTACGACACCTCTTGCCAACACACTAATCGTATGAGGACTACCATTTTTTTTATCAATACTGTCTAATAATGCTGTTCCCTGTTCCATTCTATCATCAAGAACATAATCCATGGCTTGCAATGCACTTTCAAAATCGATTACCTGGTGCAAAATCCGAAAAGTCTCTTCCTTTTTTTGTTTCTCAGTATCTTTCTTTGACTCAGGCTTTGAGCCCCTAAATCTACTTAATACACTAAACATAACATCTAATCAGAATTGGATCTCGATACCAAAGAATTAAAAGGGTAAATCACTTTGTTTCTTTATCTGAAGTATTATATGTTCAATCTTGTTCAAATTAAATATATGGCTCCAATCTCTAATATATTATTAATAACGAGAATGGGTATAATCTCACCAACTTAACTTTTTTAATTCACCTCTGTATATATATTATATATTAAATCTCATTCTCGAGACTTGGCAGAGAAAAGAGTCTGACATATCTCTTTCATTTTGCTTATGAAATAATTTTGGTGGGGGTTGCTGGTAGTTTACACAGAAGACGACGCACGGAAACAAGGGAAAAAGAGCAGATGCGTCCTGCAGATTTCGTCAGGCCTCCCAATTGAAAGAAAACGGTTCTACCTGGTTTTCTTTGCCTAAAAACAACAACTCATTTACACAATCTGTCAATAGAGGGAACTAATCAACCCCCAACTCACCGCCCCTGATGAACATCTGAACCATAACTTCTTTTTCTGGCTTGATTATGTCATATAAAAGTAGTTGATATATGTGTATACATATATATGTTCGCCACCCTGGCTTATAAATGAACGTGTCGAATACCCTTCTTGATGTTACTAAGTTCTCTGCCTACGATGTTCCGTTTTCCTCTTCTCTTTATCTTCACTGTTGGCTCAACCCGAGGTTGAATCACATTCAGCACATAACCATCGACACTATTCCAAATTTGACGGTCTACTTCGACTGGAAGCTTTCTACCATAAAGGCATTGATCAACGAGCCACATTCCTACAAGAAATGACCTTCTGTCTAATGTTCCATCGTTACGGGTGTCCACCAGATCATATATCTGTCTTAAAAGGTCGTCCGGCAAATTGGATCTTCCCCAAATGTCCTTCACGACTAAATTAAGAATTAAACCATCCTGAGGTAAAGTGAGCAATATATCAGAATAATCGGGAGCTGGGGATCGAGAACCAGGCATTACAGTAAAGTCAGTGTTTTGAGGTGAGAAAGGAACTGGACTACTTGTTCTAATAATACTTGGTGTGTCACGTGGAGAGTTTTCAATATTGAAACCATCATTATCCTTAATGTTATTTGAGCCGATAGAGTGGCTTCTATTCATTTGTAAATATCGTTCATTGTCTATATCCGAGAAATATTCCGATTCATAATCACCTGCGCCGGGACTATCATAATCATCACCATCATCATCACCATTCATACCATCCTTTGTATGTTCTTGAATAATTCTATCTTGTGCTATTGATGTATTAATTACTGGATGATCCTGTAAAACTAGATTGCTATTGTCAACATCATTAATCATTGTTTCATCTCGCTTTTCAGACTTTAACGTGGTGTGTGTATCCATACGATTCAACTCGATACGACTACTATCGTTGCTTCTTGAGCCTTGAGTGCTAGCTAATGATCTCGAATCTTCTCCTGCTGATTGTCCCTCAGAGGCAGATTGACCATCCGTCTCTTGTCTAATATCATCTACTGGCCACCAATATAACATATTCAAATAACGGTAACGATTGCTGACCCACATCCCTTCATATCTTTTACGTTCGATTTCAGACATAAATTTGGCATCTTTATGTGCTTTCCATGGTTTATCCTCATTAAATGATTTCTTATGATTTTCATATCTCATTGTAGTCTTAAATCTCATTTGTGTCGCAGTGGCAGTATTAATACTACTTGTACTTCCGCTATTAGTATTACTATAGACTGCAGCGATCGGTTTAGGATTAGGAACGTAAATAGGACCTTTTGCAGCAGCTGCCATAGCAGCTGCCATTGGAGGATCGCTTATATTTTGAGTTACAGTATTGTTATTATTCGCTAACAAAGGATCGAAATTTCGACTTGTTGTATTGTATGATGTGCTTGGAGTGGTTCCTTTACCGAATATTTTCTTTAATGGATTTTTCTTGCTGGACCCTTTCTTTCTTGGTAAAATATTTGTCCCAATGGAGAAATTCTGGTTCTCTAAATTTAAGGATTCTGTATCACCACTTGCCTGTTGCTGTCTCGTTAGTAGACTTTGATTTCCTATTGAATTATGATCATCAAAATCGTTTTCATCATCTATCATATTAGTGGGCTCAATTTGGGAATCTATTGGCTCTGACGCTGTTCTAGCCATTGGTGTCGGTTGTTGAAATCGAGTAGAAGATAAAACTGAAGAGGAAATATTTTTCGGATGTTCTTCAACAACATAGTCCTGACTACGGGTTTCATCTAATAACTGTATTGGTCGTATTCTTTCCCTTCTTACAGGTTGTGGAATTTCCATTCTACGTCTATTCTGTTCAAAATTATGAAATTGTCTTGGTTCTATTGGTTCTGGAGTTGGTGATCTATCGATTGGGGGCGTAACATCTCTCTTAACTTCTTGTTTAATGGATTTCGCCACTATTTCATCATCGTTTATCCTGGATGGACTATTAATTATTTTTTTATCCTTATCAGAATCGGCCACATATGAGTGAGCCAGTGCAGCTGCAATATGTGCAGCATCAACAGCTGCAGTAGAAACTGAAGATACAGGAATATGTTTTCTCTTGGGAGGTTCGTTAGATTCCTTTGGTGTATTTATTCTTCTCAATTGTACCCTTCCATCATTAACATTAGAACTGATAGGTGACTGTATAGGTGATTGTCCCTTCGTTGAAGTTTGTGGAATAGCAGGTCTATATGATTTAGTAGTGGTTGGCCTCCTGAGAACTTGCTGCGGTGATGATTCTATATCTACCTGAATAGGAGATTTACCTGTATTGATTCTTCTTGGAATTTGATCTGTATTAGCTTGATCTTGTAATTTGGTTCCTGTTGGTCTTTGTCGAACCTCTGCTGTTGCTACTGGAGCTGTTGTTACATTAGTTGTTACTTTCCCCTTTGAATGTCTTTGAAAGATAACTTGAGCCGCTCTCAAAGAATCGTTTAATGCTTCTTCACTGAGTACTGCCTCTGCATTAATATGCGGTGGTTTTTTCTTTCCTTTGGAAAACATTATGCTAATTATAAATCTGTATGTATGGACACTCTGCTTAGTTGTCCTTTGCTTTTTATTTTCTTGATTTCTTCTAAATTATTCAAATAAGTTTCATCGATATAGTGATTAATATGAGTATTCTTTTTTCTTTATTTCAGAAAGCTCGTTTGATATTTCTTTTGATCTAAATATCTGTCTCTCTTCACACTGAAAAACACCACTTGCTAACTTGCTATACACCCTTTTGTTAGAATATTACCTTATTACTCTTTCATCGATACACACGACTTTCCAGGTCTCATTCACGAAGTTATCTTCTTCTCTGAATCGAAATCCGGCTTTAGCACGTTGCTCTCTGTTCTCAAACATGTTTGTTTGTTCCATCCATCGTTTGTCCCTTCGAAGTCGTCATTGTTTAACAACCGAAGAAACTCGCGAAGAGCCGCAGAACTCAGATTTTTGTATGTGAAACAGAACCAAGAAAGGTTGGACTGAGTAATGGGTTTTAGAGGTCTTGTTGCTTCCATGTCTTGCGTGTGTGTGAACCGGTATATATTCTGTTAGACGCTCATTCACCAGGAGAAATGAGGGAGAGTATATATATTTGTATTTGTCTTTTATATAAATGGTTTATAATGCAGTTGAATATGTATGTGAACGATCTATGGCGTGGCATTAGACTCTAGTTGTCTTCTGATTACAGCCATAATCTGTGGGTTTAACTCCGTCGGTGGGATGTCGATATCGCTATAGTAATGTATGGGGACCCTTGGAGCCATTGAAGATAGTTTGATTCTGTTATCTGTACTGAATCCAGCGGGATTATTCTGCCATGAACGTAACAACGAGGATGCCCTTTCAGGAGTAGTGATCTCAATATATGAGACAACTGTACCTTGTTTAACATCATTTCGACTTGAGTAATAAATATCATGTATATCGTTAACAATAATTTGAGAATTCGTTGTCTCAAGGAGGAATCGACGTAATTGTGATTTTTCCAATATTGTAGACAAAGCAATTGGATCACCATCGAATTCCAATCGTAAAGTAGCGGAATCATAAAAATGTGATTCTTTATCATTCCCATTGTCAGAATTTCCGGTAGATTGTGACTCAACATCTTTCCCCTTAAGGGACCAATCTCCAAATGGGACTTTAAAGTGTTTCATCTTACGTAACATCTCTCCATACTCTTGCACAGTAGCAATCAAGTCATCATTCTTATACGTATGTGGGTTATTTTCTTGTTTTTGTAAGAAAAACTTACGATGATACCAATGATCATATTCACTTTTCATGGATTTATCTGTAAGCAATTGCATTGCGAGATTAATCTCATGAAATTTACTACTATTATCATCTCCACCAGCAACATTTTTATCAGGATGGTATACCAATGTCATCTGCTTGTACCTACTCCGTATTTCTTCGGTTGATATTTGCTGAGTACCACCACGATTACTCACTTCTGCCACATCCAGTCCAAGCACCGCATATAGATCTATGTTCTTATCCACCACATCACTAACTCGACGATCCATATTATACCTGCACACCGTGGTCTTGTTCACAAAAACACATACAGAATACCAATAGCACAACTGCAAGAACTCCTTTAAAAGGGTTCAGAATTCAAAACCTTTGTATCTCATCCTGTGGGTTTCAGGATCTTTGTTTTGCACAGTAAAAGAAACGGGGCCTCGCGAGAATTACAAAACAGAAAAGTTATTTCAAATTTTAAGATCGAATAGAAGACTCTGCTACAGTTACATAAGAAAGATCGTTACTAAGATTTGGTAAAAAGGAAGAAGTATCAAGACACAAAGTTGATACGTTTTAGTTCCTTTTATTAAGTTTAACTTGGATCTAGTACTGTTTACTTCATACTGGGATACTGTTAGACAAAAAGCTAAAAAATAACAAAAAAAAAGAAAATATTAGACCCTGAAAATAAGCCTTCGAATCATTTTATGCCTGACTTCGAAATATATATTAGATAAAACGGCATTTGATTTGTTAATTTTATTTTCCTTTCAAGCTATATATTGAACTTTACATCGTTTGTCCTCTATCCTATTACACCCCTTTCCCATGACTCAACTTACAAATACTTTATCACCGGTATTCCCCTTGGAGAAGGATGCTGATGTGGAGGCTAACGCAGCTCCTTTAAAACATAGTGCTCATATTCAGGTTTTCATTCGACTGGCAGAACCGGTAGTGTTCTTCCAAGGGTTTGAAACCCAACATAATGATGATAGATTACCTGCAGTACTAAGAGGATCATTAGTAGTTCGTGTGTTAAAAGCAACAAAATTGAAAAGTATATCGTTATCGTTTAAAGGTTACACAAGAACTGAATGGCCAGAAGGGATCCCACCAAAGAAACAAGAATTTGTAGAGATTAATGACGTTGTGAATCATACATGGCCATTCTATGATTCTTCAGATCCTATCCAAACAGATTCGAGAACTAAGACTAATAATAGCAAGAAAGATGCAGAATATGAAATGTTATTACAAGGGAGCGGTGCATCCATGTATAAACCACTTCCAGGTTCATCGGGACAGTCTACTGGCGTTGGTGCAGCTGCTATATCGGCAGCTAAATTGACTGATTTAACCTCCCCTTTACAATTATCACCCGTTTCTAGTAACCCTAACGTTAATCAACTTACAAACAATAATAATATATCTGGATCCCATTTAATGACACCGAAGAAAGAAAAGAGTAATGGTAATTTGAGAAGAAGTAGAGCCAATTCATCGGGATCGTTAAATACCGCAAAGATTAGCCCCTCAGTAAGAAGTTTATCTCCATTAAATCTCTTTAGACGGGTTACTTCATCAAACCATGAAGTTCAACGGGCTCCCTATACATCTTCAACCACTAATCCAAATTCTAATTCTAATTCAGCAAACGATATAAATAATTCAAAGAGAAATCTTTCTGGTATTAATTTAACCACATCAAATGCAGACTCATTAAAACCGGTAACTTCTACATCAATCTTTTCTGAATTATTATCATCAACTTTTTCATCTGATGCAACAGCATCAGCACCACATAAATTACATCATCGTGATTCTGTAATATCAGCAACATCATTGATAACATCCGATTCCTTTGTATTTCAACCTGGTGATTATGTATACACATTTGAACAAATAATACCACAGACGTTTCCCGAATCTATTAAAGCTGATTTTGGGTTCGTGGAGTATTTCTTATTGGCTACAATCGAAAGAGTTGGTGCATTCAAATCCAACTTAAACGCAAGATTACCAGTGACAATTGTGAGAACTCAATCTGATACTTCTGTTGAAGAGAGTGAACCGATCTTAATTTCAAGAGATTGGGAAAATCAATTATTTTATGATATTATTATATCTTCAAAGGATATTATCCTTGATGCTTTCTTACCGATTAATTTTTCATTTTCACCTTTGGATAAAATAACATTACATAGAATAAGAATTTATATCACTGAAACTATGGAATATTATTGTAGAGGTAAAAAAATACACAGACTTGAACCAACAAAAAAATTTTTATTAGCTGAACATTGTGGCCCAACATTACCGAATGCTCCAAAGGATACGAATGGTGTAAAAGCTAAATACATGGGAAACTTATTAGAAGATAAAGATGGTTATTTATCAAACAAATCGTTTGAATTTCAAGTCTTTATACCAAGTAGGTTTGGTAGTCATCAAAGATTACATCCAGACACAGGGTTCGAAAAGATTAAGTCAAATCATTGGATAAAACTTTGCCTTCGTTTATCAAGAATGATTGATGGTAAGAGAAAACATTACGAAATTAGCATTGATTCTCCGATTCATGTGTTGCACAAATTATGCTCTCATGCAAATACTTTACTTCCAAGTTATGATGTTCATTCTGTACCATTGGGTAATAACATATTCCCATCTTCAACTAGCATTTCCATGGCTTCTTCAAGTTTGGATTCTAAGTTCGAACTAGATTCTGTATCGGAGAGTGTTAAGTCTAATAGTACCCATAACACAAATGATCCTAACCACTTATACCATAACTCCAATATCTTCTTCCCAAAGGAGGTTTTTAGTTCACCAATTTTATCACCTAATGTACAACCAATCGATGTTAGCTCAATGAACGGACCTACAAGAACTCCATTACCAAGAATTGTACCAAATCGTCATTCAAGTAGCAATGGTGGCAATAACACTAATAATAACAATAGATATATTCATAATCTAACACATAACCAAAATGGACGTCCAAATACTGTGGGAGGTGAGACTAATAAAAATGATATCTTTACAAATCCAAGACTTAAATCCAATATCTATCAACCTGAATCTATCGAGAGAGCTTTAACTTCCCCACAAGCTGTTCCGTTATCCCCAATTACATCACCTTTGTTAAGACCCCTGTCGTTTCAATTAAATGATAGTGATTCTTTCAGTATTAATGAAAATTCTCTTGATGATCCACCTCCGGATTTTAATTTTGATGATAACAAACCTGTGACTTCCCTTGGAACCACAAGACCGACCTTAACCACATATAAGAGTAATCCAACAATCCCTTCAAAATTACCTCCATCGTATGGAGAAGCCATTAAAAGTAAAACCAATGAAAGAATATTAAGCTCAAATCTTCAAAATTCAAGGATGTCACGATTGTCACTAAATAAATCTCAGGATTCTTTGCTTTTTAGTATGAGCAACAGAAAAAGCAATCTAAACCTAGATAATGAATTGGAAAACTCATTTGTGGAAGAGAAAAATAAAGAAGATAACGATGATAATGATATAGCATCTAGCTTCAGTTTTGATAGTTCAAATATGCAGACTCAGAATTTGCCCTCGAATATTTTAAGACCACATTCACCGCCAACCTTGAGACCACTGAGTGGTGATCTGATATTTAGTGGTGGTCGCCCTGAAGCTGCAAACATGCTACCATCAACATTAAGGACAGATAATCAGTTCTACAATGATATGAACCAAATATTTAGCGATGATACAACACCACCAGGTGAAAATCCATCTTCTCCAACTGAGGCTGGCAATTCAACAACACATGAAGGAAGTCCGAGTCGATCAGTTCACTCTGTTAATGAATTATCACCACATTCGTCGGCTGGAAATAATAGTACTAACGCATATCTCAACAGGGATGGTATTGCCGCTGAACCCTTGCTGAATAACGGCCTAAGGAATAGTACATCTCAGAATAGGACTACCGGTGACATTACAGAAATGAGTTACGACAACTCTTTTTTTCAATCTAAAGACTCCCTCAACGACATGTCCGGACAACCATTAGACTCTTCAGTTGATCTTACTGCATTGTACAATAGAAATACTGTTGGTTGGAATACATTTCAATTCGATGAAGGAATAGACAACAGTCATGACTCAAGAGAAAACCGTGACGTAGGGGGAGGTACTGACGCCTCTAGTAGACTTTCAGAAGTAGCAACTCAAAGTGACTTAAAGACTATCGACACGGATAGTAATGCTGACAATAGCACATCTACGTATCATAATGTTGAAGGTACTTTATCTTCATGAGTGTTGATCATAAGGAAACCCAAAAGATTTTAAAAACACCACTCCCAAACTTTTACTATAACACCTTGTCACTATTATTTTAGTTCGTTTTTTTATACTTATTAGACATTTTTACAATATATATTCGAGAACCTAAAACCTACTGATTTTAAATAATTAATTTGGAATTGCCTTCCAGAAAAGGTCCCAGAGGATATGCTTACTGATTTTATTTACGTTTTGTTAAAAAGTGTAAATTCCTTCTAAAAAAATATCGGATGTAGATATCCGGTGCTTTCACGATATAAGCCGTTTATATATGATACTAATTTATATTCTTTGTCACACTAAAATTGCATTATCTGAAACTAATCAGATAAACCTATACCATCATCAGTAAAGGCCGATATTTCGTCATACGCCTTTTACTCATTATTCTCTATAAGAAGGCACTATTATTCTTTAGAGAGTTAGTTTTTAACAATTCCAAGCAAGATATTGGATATTTTTGAACCATCAACGTGTTACTTGATCAATTGCAGACGTTAACTCTGTAGGAGTATATTTGATATGTTTTCTTGGATTTTTAAATGAGTCCTTGTACCTACCGTAAAATCTTTCGTACATTGGGATAATCAAAGAGACAATTTCAGATTTCAAACGTTTCTTTAAAGCAGGATCTGTCAATCTATATTGTTTAGTTTTACTTTCAAGAGCTTCGAAACCATCATTAAATCTCTTAAACTTCTCTTTTATTTGCTCCTTATCCTTTGATTTTTTACCAGCACTGTCTATGAACACGGCGTCCATCAAAATAGCAGTTAGATCCTTCCAATCAGCAACCATATAATCTACATATCTTTTATGTAATTTTTTAATCCTCACATTACCTTCTTGTCCTAGTATGGAACTTAAACTTGACTTTTCGACAATTTGCTCCACCAAAGAAATATTCATCAAGATGAAATAGCCAATTCTTTGTTTGTGTTTTGGACTACTAAAGCCATCTTTGGATGATGTGTGTGTTAATGCGGGACTGGATATTTCAGATGACATATTGTTCCCTAATATTTTTTCAGCTCTCTTTTCAAGAAACAAACATAACGTATCGATACAGTCACTGAAGAAACATGACAATAACCTCACAGATACCTCTTTTTCACTACAATTCTTTAAAAATTTATCATCGAATGTGGAGTCCTTTGGTGAAAATGATGTCACTAACCAATTATTCCTTTCCATTGAGCTTATAGCTGTAATACACCCACTTTGGAATTCTCCCAGTTTTCTTAATCTGGACATTGTGTCGACAGTTGATTCTGTAACACCATTGTCTGTAGGTAAAGAAGAAAGTCTGTTAACTTTCTCGCCAATTCTTTGAATAGTATCCTTAAACAAGGATTGAGTCACTTGATCTATTTTCTTTGAGCACTGAACCAATGAATCCAAATTTTGTAAATTTTGACTAAATCTAAGAGATCTTCTGACATTCTGTACACTCTCCACCAACTCAAAACTAAAGATACCGGTGTTATCAAGGTTACCTTTGATAGATTCCAAATTATAATTAATCAATTTGGAGTAAGTCTTCAATAAACGTTTTAAAATAGCATCCAGGGTCGGTTCTTTAAATGTCATATATTGAGAACATATATCATCTATAAGAGATTTTTCATTTGCAATGAAACCAAGAATAGCCTCTGTGTAAGGGTTCATACCACTTGATCCCTTTTCATATGGAGCATTTTTGGAAGTAGTTATCCTTTTAGCAAATGGTTCTAAGAATGCCATAGACTTCAGGATTGTTTGACTTCTCTCATTAATCAATGACTCCTGGATACTATCGATATCTGAATTGTTGTAAAAATAATCTAAAATGGAAGATAGTTCACTTAATTGTTGATCTTCATAATAAGGAAACGGAATCTTTTTGTTCATATTAATTTGTGGATCGAATGGTTTTATTGTGTTTAATATAGCTACAAAGTACATTCGTAAATTTGCCTCACTATCTTTAATAACTTCTGTTAAACGAATTAAAATACCATTGAATTCTGCGTTTTGTTTATTATTAATATTTATACTCTCTGCCATATCATCCAATCTATGAATAAGCTGTGTATAGTTCTTTATACCAATTTCTTTAATCCCTTTAGTTAAGAGAATTTCATATTTAGAAGCTTCAGTAGCAAGGTCTTTCACCGAAGCAACAGAATTTAATGTGCTTTCTATATTTTTTTGAAGTATCGTAAGTTCATTGTTTCTACTTAAGATTGGTACAAATAACCTAGTTGATTGATCGGATGTTTGCACAATTTGACTTAGTGATTTGTTAATGTCATAAGTCAATTTACTCGTCTTCTCTAAGCCCCTGGAAAGAACTAAGATATCGGCTTCATCTATATCAATTTTGGGTAGCGTTCCAACTGATGTCATTATCTGTATGTTTTTATCTATTGTCTTAATTAGTAAGAGTTCTAAGCGTTTTCGGTTTTTCTCAGTGGTATTGCAGATTCCTTCTTTCACAGTTCAGTCCTAATGAAATAAAGGCAAATATCAAATAAATAGCAAAATTTTCTTCTAGCAAAGTTTATAATTCTGGAGAACTATATTTTTAGTAGTTTTACTTGAAATATTGACAGCAATGAATCATATATCAATCACTGTATGCATCCTTTAATCCAATTATGATCCTATTTTCTTCTAACGTTGTTCATAGTTCATTATTTACATAATTCACTGAAATTTCCAAATCATTGAAAGCAGAACGAAACCCTAAAGCTAGGGCGAGTGAAAATTTACAAGGCGATGATTTTATATTTCAAAATTAAGCAAAGGCCTATCTTAAAGCAACGATCATTAAAAAAACATAAACAAATAAATATACTTCATGTTTAGACTTATTAATATTGGTTTAACATATACTGAGAGGTAAACATCGATTCCTACTTCTTTTTTTACGAAAATATTGATGAGCTCAGTCAATAATAATGCCTCATGTGTGGGTCAATTAGTGGCAGACCTCGAGGCTGCATCGCAACTTCATCAGAGAGGTAAATCATATAAGAGAACATATGACATTTTCAATAGCAAACATAAAGTAAATAGTTGGAAATTCAATGAATGGGATTATGGTAAGAATAATATTAAACTACCTACCAATGCAAGAGGCCTCTTTATCTTAGATGATCCAAACGATCCACGCATTGTTGCTAGAGGTTATGACAAATTTTTCAATATCGATGAGGTTCAAAGCACCAGATGGGAGTGGATCGAGGAGTTTACAATGGGACCATATGAAGTCACCGTTAAGTCAAATGGTTGTATAATATTTATATCTGCGCTGGAAGATGGTACCATTGTTGTTTGCTCGAAACATTCGACAGGACCCAGGGACGACGTAGATAGAAATCATGCACTTGCAGGTCAGGCTTTCCTATTGAGACAATTAGATGAATTAAATGTAGATAGCAAGAATTTTGCTAAGGAATTGTATGAGAACAATTTAACTGCAATTGCTGAATATTGTGATGATACTTTTGAAGAACATATCCTGGAGTATGGGGAAAAGGAAAGAGGCCTATATTTACACGGGTTGAATTTAAATGAGCCGGAATTTAAAACTTTACCTATGGATAAGGTACATAAATTTGGAGAGAAATACGGATTCAAACCAACGGAGTCCATGATCAAAGAAGATATACACTCATTGAGAACATTCTTAGAGAAGTGTGCAACTGAGGGATCTTTTCAAGGTCGTGAGTTAGAAGGTTTTGTGATTAGGTGTCATTTAAAAGAGAATAACAAGACATTTTTCTTTAAGTATAAATTCGAAGAACCTTATTTGATGTATCGTCAATGGAGAGAAGTTACAAAGAAATATATCGAAGATGGTACTCGAGTATTCAGGTTTAAAAAGCATAAGTTCATCACGAACAAATATTTAGACTTCGTAATACCTCTGCTAGATAATGACCAACAATTACGTGAAAATTATACGAAGGGATTTGGTATAATTGGACTAAGGAATCTCTTTTTAGAGTCATATGGTATGAGTGGTATGGAGATCTTAAATCATGAAAAGATTAAAGAATTAGAATTAAGAAATGCAGTTGACTATAACAAGATAGATGAAAATACTAAATTTTTGATATTTCCAATTGCGGTAATTGGATGTGGTAAGACAACTACTGCATTGACGTTAACCAATCTATACAAGAATCAATGGGGCCATATCCAAAATGATGATATTAGGGGTAAGGACAAAGCACAATTAATTAAAAGATCTCTTGAGAAATTAAGTGACCCTAGTATTAAATGTGTATTTGTTGATAGAAATAACCACCAATATCGTGAGCGTCAACAATTATTCGAATGGATTGATGAATACAAAGAAGAATATATGTCATACGACGCCAATATTAAGGTTATTGGTATATCATTCTTGGATGGTACAGATCTTGAAAGAGTAAAAGAAATTACGACCGAGAGAGTGCTTGCAAGAGGTGATAACCATCAGACTATTCAACTGAACAAACATGGTGAAAAAAAAGTTATCGGAATAATGAGTGGCTTCTGGAAAAGATTCCAACCGGTAGATATGAACAAATGGCCAGATAATGCTTTTGATTTACTGATAAATTTAAAAGTTGATAACGAGTCATCGTCATTGTCAAATGCAAGAGAAATTATTAGACAAATACACGAAACATACCCTGTCCTAATCCCTGACCTACCAACCGAAAATGAACTCGAACAAGCATTTAAGTCTGCATTAGAACATAAACCAGAAAATATTCCAAAAGTAGTTAAGGGACAACCTCAAAAACCAACTATCAAGAAATTAAAGCCTTCATTTTTCTCTGCAGCCATAAAAAATAAAAAAATGCTACTAGATGAAATTCAAAATGCAATAAATTTGAGTGAGATGAATACGTCATCAGTGAATAAGATGGTAGAAGAAAACCGAACTCAACCAGAGTTTCATATCACTTTATCACACGTTGTCCAAGGTAAGAAAGGAGATGCTCGCGAAAAGCGTATTTGGTCAACATATATGAAACATTACGAAGATGAAATGATGAAGATTTCTGAATGTATTCTAAAGAAAAGACAATCTGGGGAGAGTGCAAACCCAGATGAACGTGAGACATTTGAATGTAGCAATGGAGATCACTTAAAATTCAAATTAGCCAAACTATGTTGGGATGATAAAATTGTAAGTGCTATTGTAGAATTGAACAGAGATATTGATCATAATACCTGTGTTAAGGACAAAAACAATCAATTCATTAATGGTCTAGATTGCACGAACGTTATTTCTCATATTACAATTGGAATATTAAATGTGGATACAAAAGCATCATATTCTAACACTCTTTGTCATAAAGTAATGGAAGGTGATATCGAGAAGGTAAATGTCATCGATCTTTCGGATACAATTACCCATACAGCAGGTATATGCATCAATATAAACTAGGATCACTATTTATAATTATTATTCATTACATCACTAATAATATATATATGTATGTATATATATCAAGACTTTTTTTTATATATGCATCAATCTAAGGAAAACCCAAACGAAAAGAGAAGTGAAAAAAAACACACTTCCCTTATTTTAGATTGTTGAAGTTACCCTTGTTAATGACAAAGACATCAATAGCAGCCATAGCAGCATATAATCTATTTTCAGCTTCATCAAATACAATAGAATGTTTACCGTAGAAGACATCATCAGTAACTTCTTCGTGATGTCTTGGTAAACAATGCATAAATTTAAATTCTGGATCAGCTAAATCAGCCAATTCTTTATTAATTTGGAAACCTTGGAATTGTTTTAATTTAGCCTCCTTGGCAAATTCTTCACCCATTGAAACAAAAGTATCTGTTACAAGAATGTTTGCACCTTTTGAAGCACTCTTGGAGTCATGAGTAGCTTCAATCTTAGTACCATTTTGAGATGCAATCTTATTAGCTTCATTCATAATGTTGGCATCCATTTCAATACCATTTGGTGTAGCGATAGCAACATCCATTCCTAATTTCAAACAAGCAAGAGCCATATCGTTAATAACATTATTAGCATCACCAATCCAAGTAATCTTTAAATTTGGTTTAGAGGAATCATTTAGATGTGTAGCGAATTTTTCTTTAATGGTTAACATATCACAAATAGCTTGTAAAGGATGATAAGTATCACATAAAGAATTAATAATTGGTACGGATGAATCTTTACATAAAGCTTGAATATCTTCATGACTATTCACACGTGCAAAAATACAGGAAACCATCGAGGATACAACCTTTGTAGTATCATAAAATGATTCATTGACACCTAATTGAATATCTTCTTTACCTAAAAACATTGGTTGAGCACCAAAAAAAGTAGCAGCACCTTCGGTAGAGATTCTAGTTCTAGTGGATCTTTTGGTGAAAATTAAAGCGACAGTTCTACCTAATAATTTTAGATGATTCTTTTGGAAGTCATCAGAGGCACCATTCTTGAAGATAGTCTTATAATGTTGAGCTCTGTCAACAAGGATCTTGAATTCTTCATCTGTTAGATCCTTAATAGAAGTTAAATGACGGATAGAGTTAGACATAGTTAAATATATATATGCTTTTTTTTTTTTGAAGTAATAGAATCTTTGTAAGGTTCTCTTTTTTAATTTACGATACAGTTATCCCTTTATTATTAGATCTGATTTACAGTTTATTAATTTAACTTTCTAAAATTAAAATAATCCGAATTATGTAACGACCCATCAAATCGTTATTAGTTGTACTTAAAGGACATCTTGTATTTTTTTGTTCCACTTATATACTTTAAGTGAAAAAAGAGGCGACATATCTCTCTGTCTCTTGCACTTAACGGTACAGTGTGGGGCACGGATGCATGTCGCAAGATAAAGAGCAGTCACAACTTTTTGTAGGGACAAAGAGTATGCGGTGTGTGGGTGGAGGTGTGAGTCAACGGAGCCGCATGCGTGACATAATAAAGTATGTATGAGGTTTTCTTAATAGGCCCCAAAATGCGTCATAATTAGTAAACTGAACACTTAGTAGTGACACCATTTTATGACTTTAGATAATGAAGATCAACTAATGATTACTGACAGGATAGATCGTTAGAGAAGAATACTGATATTAAATGCGAATATAAATAATCGGAATATATATATATATATATATTTAAAGTGTTAAGGGAATATTTGAGGCAAATACCTCAAAAATTGGGATTGTGAAAAATTCTTTGACTTGCCAGAGAAAGAAGGACCGATGACACAATTTAACGACAGGTAAAAATACTTATTTATTTTCTTTTTTTATCATTTCCATCCTTCAAAGATTCTTGCTCATTTACTGCCGTTGTAGAAGCTGATAGACTCGATGGTAAGAGTAACATATTAACAAAATTCTTGGGTGTTTCTACTTCTGTCAATCTTGGTAAACCAGAGATATTCTTAGTGGAATTATTATTTGTTTGACTGTTACCTCCATCTGATGGAATGAGTAATTGTGATATACTCGTTATACTTGTTCCAGGGAAAGGCGGTGGCATTACTCTTGAACTTAATATAGAATTAGTACGAGGTAATGGCAATGTAGGTGACTGTTGTTGAGAGAGTATCCCATTTTCATCTTCTCCACGAGGATAAAATAAATACCCAGTTTGATCAATCTTACGTTTCTTTTGAGTATTTGATGTGTTCAAAGGAAGATCTATTCCTACATCTGCATTCAATGAAGTAGAGGATCCAGCAGCAATAGGAGATAGTAAACTCTTGACATTAAGCTGATTTGGTTTTGTATTTTCATTTTGAACATAATTGTGTTGCTGTTGAGTTGGAGGAGCAACCTGATGTTGATGATGCTGGAATAATGATGCTGTGCGTCTTTTAGTCTTAAAGGGAATCTCTAGAGGTTCCATATTATCACAAGATCCTTCATCATCATCTTCAGCATATCCATCGTCTGTGTCTTCATGACTACCAACCAATAATGGTGATAATAGATACAAAGGATTTGGCTGATTTGGATCATTTATTACAAAATCCTGTTGGGCTTGAGTACCTGTGTCATTTGTTGTTGCTGTGGGTAAGAATAAATTACTATTAATTTCTTCTAGTTTTGGAGTTGTAAGAGATTTAAATAATGTTGATAAATTTCGACTATTACTAACAGTCCCGGCACCATTATTATTATTGTTATTTGATCCAGTAAACATGTTAAATTGTTCCATTATTACTTTTGAATTGGTTCTGATCAATGAATTATTATAAGTTAAATTAAAATTCGAATCATTAAAATCAGATATTTGTTTTAAATACATAGTTGGAGTTGTTGCCACTTGGAAATGTTCATTGACTTTAAATATCGAAAGATCAATATTAAAAGATTTTATAAAAGGTTGTTTCTCTAATGTCATTATATCACTTTGATACCATAATAAAGACCATTTAATTAAAAATTGTTTAAATTTATTAAATTTCCAATAATATTGATTTTTCAAAATCTTCTTATTAGTTACATCATCCGACCCAGGGACCATCATTTGTGACATTCTATCCGACCAATCACATAGTATGCTTTCACAAGTATTAATTAGATCGACATTAGAAATTGGTAAAAAGTGGAATAAATTAAATTTTAATGGTTGATGTGATATATTTCCAGAATTATTGTTCAAAGAATTGAAATGTAATATCAATAAGTAATATAATGTCAATATTTCATAACATACTTCTTCTATCGAATCATTTTTTCCTTGTAAATTTTTAGAGCTAGCCATGTTATTATTATTCTCTTTACTATTAATGTTGTTTCTGTTATCTTTATATAGACTTTTCCCTGGTTCTAATTCTGCAATCAAAGTTAATACTAAATAAAACAAAGTTAAGTTAATTTCAATAAATTCTGATTTTTCTAACATTAATTGTTTATTTGTGGAGATATTATTAGATAATAATTCTTGATCATTTTGATCGTGATCAAAATAATTATGATATAATTTATAATTTGTTAATTGGTTTCTAAAATTTTCAATTGTTAATACCAATTTCGAACGTTCAGTCGATTCTAATATTAATTGTAAATTTGTACCATCTAAAGATTTTACAACCAAATCTACTAATAATGAAAAAGATTTCAAGATAGGAATCTTTAGTTCCTTTGGTTGAAATTCATCTATTAAGAAATTAACTTTTGGTAAACCTTGAATCAATGACCACCAAGAGCTTAAAAATTGGAAACACCAAAATGTAACATTATAAATTGAATCATTCTCATCATTATTTATATTTTGCTTCTTTAAATGCCGTATATTACCTTTTGGTACTTCATGTAAATTTTTTGGATTAATATACAAAGCCATTGAAAGACATTTTGAATAATTCATATTAATTAAATCTATTACAATGGCTTGTTGTAATGGTGTATTTAAGGTAGGACAATATCCCATAAAATAATAAATTGTAAGGTTAAGACATTGTACAGTATTAATATCTGAAACATTTGCATTAAGAATTAATTTTGTCAATTGATATAAAATCATATTATCATAACAATTCCAATTCATTTGAATAATATACTGTAAAATTAATAAATTTAATAGTGGTGGTTTTGTTGTATTAATTTCTAATTGATCAGTTTGTTGACTAGCTGTTACAATCATATCAATTAAAGAAGTTTCTAATATATCAAAAGGATATAATATTGGAATAAGCGAATTAATAGACAGGAAAAATTGTCTTACAGCTTGAATCAATTGAGATTTAATTATATAAGTATCATTTCGATATTGATTAATTAAAAATTGTGGGAAAACATAATTATTTCCATTCAATTTTAATTGTTGTTTCATTAAAGTCATTAAAATTGGTTCAAAATCATCAAATTTATGAGTTTCATTCTCTGTATTTAGTATATCATTATCAATATGAAAAATTTTATTCCAAGTTCTATGACCTAAAAAGGTTTGTCTATTATCATCAACTTTAACAGAATAGTTTTCAAATTTATGAAAATTATCATTAATAAATGATAAAGCTAATTCATTGTTTTCTTTTGAATTTTGCAAATTGTGATCAAAAGTCTTCGTAGTTTGTTGTTGTGAAGATAATAATTGTTGTAATCTTACAACTTCTTGTTCAAGAGATTCTGTATAACCTTTTGGAATACCTCTTCTAGCTAATTTATCACCACGAGTACATTCAAAATTAACTTTTGCACAATTTGAACATGATGGTTTTAAACCATCACATTTGACTTTTTTCAAACGACATCTATCACAAGCTTGTGTCTTTCGAAAATTTTTCAAATGCATTTCATTATTTGACGATGTTGAATTTTTTTGTTTCTTCTTATTGTTGTTCTTTGGAACAATTGTACTAGTTGAAATTGGCATTTTTCCAACCATTTCCAATTTACAAACTACACTAAACAATAACTAATATTATTTATATAGTCTATTATACTTAAATAATGAAGAAAGCAAAAGACTCCAATGATTAAAAAACAACAACAACAACACAAGCAATAAAACCTAATCTGTATTTATATATTTCACCCTATTATGTAAAAAAGAAAACAGTATGATCGATCGCATTACACGCAATACTATTTATTATTCAGAGATGGCTTCATACTCCGTTGTTAAGGAAATCCTCGGTGAAACACTCCACTGAGTTTTCCTCCCCTTCAGGGAATATTAAAGGTCATTGAAGTTACGTTTAGGAATGGGAACTATTCGGTTTTTTGGGTTTGTTGATTTTGAATATTCTCTCTTTGAGTAAGTTGATGGATGGTCTATGCAAACCCTAACTTTAGGGTACGCACCACGACAGACAGCAACAGACAACTCCGGGTTAACGGAGTTGTGTGTTGCTGTTTGGGAGGCGAAGAAAAACAGAAAAAAAAAACACTTTTTGATTCGCCGGACGAGCGGAACTCTAGCGCGCCGGAGATAATCGGAGGATGGCGGCGATCACGCTTCCGAGGTGCTCCGGTTGGCGGTCACGTGGACAGAGACTCGGCTAGTCACGTGCGCAATCACATCCTACGAATGTTTTTTTCTCTTTTTTAGTTTCTTTTATGCTACTCTCTCACTAGACAACTTGGCGTACAGACACCCATTGTAAAGCTTATACTATTTGCTTAAATAATAACAATGAAAACGCGATGCCATAAGGTTAAAATCTTGAATGTGATCATGACACACTATATTCGTGTTAAGATCAAAATAAATTCAATCTAGCTATTGGAAAACGGTGTAATATATTCATATAAATATTAGATTTGAAAGCAATAGAGTCTAAAGGTGTTGTTACATTTATTGAATCCATAAACACTTATTTTTTGGTCATGGAATCACAAAGTCCATTTAAAGGATTATTGTTTTGCTTTACGGGACTGGATCAAGAAGTATCTAAATCATATATAAAGAAAATTGTTAAATTAGGTGGTCAATATAATGGCGATCTTACACCACAAGCAAACGTATTGGTCATCGGATCAAATCCAATGCAATCTGCTAAATATCAATTTGTCACTATGCATCGTAATGATATGGCTGTAATTCATTTTAGTACAATTGATCAATTATATGATATTTGGGTTAATGGTGATGATATTTCATGTAAAGATCATTTTAATTATCAAAAATATAAAAATAATGATCCCTTAAGAATGTTACATGTATTACATTCAAGATATGAAGCAAAGCCTCTAACAGATTTTTATATCTTCTTAGGTAGATGTCAAAATGAAGATATTAAAGAATTGGAATTTTTTTGTCGTGCAATGGGTTGTATCGATTGTAATTCTACACAATTTATTATGGATATAAAGATTACCCATCCGAATAAAAATATTTTATTTATTACAGATAGTACAAATAGTGCAAGAGCACAAGCTGCATTATCCGTTGGGGGAATACCTCTAGTTCATTTTAAATGGTTAAGAGATTGTTTTATTAGAGACCTTGCATTACAATATGATCCTTATTATCTTGTTGAAAACACCATGGGATTATCTTACGAAGAAATCGGCGTTGGTGCTTGTGATTCTGTCGAACCACGTATTTCTATACCAAGTCAACATTTGACACCAACTATTGGTAATATAGATTCTGATGATGAAAATACTTCGCATCGTTTAATGACAAATAAATTAAAACCAAAAGTTGATAAAATATGGGAAAGAACATTTGCATCAAATGATAATAATAAACAGAAAACCTCCGATCTTACCACTAATGGAAAATCAACAACAAATAGTGAACCTACTATTCAAGATGAACCTATACATGGATGTTTCCACGGTTGTATATTTACCATACATCGTAGTTTTGATTCGAGAAAATATGAAATCCTTGAGAAAGTTATCACTAAAAATGATGGATCAGTTCATACAAGAATCACTAACGCAAATTATTTGATAGTACCAAGTAATATGTCCTTGGACTCATTAAATATAGATCCCAATCTGGAGACAATGCCAGAATTGGTCACTGAATTTTTCATTGAAAGATGTTATTATTATAAAAAACTTATATCACCACCAGATTCTTGGTCAAAACCGTTCCTTTACACGTCAGATTTTAAATTAGTACCATCATTAAGATTACTTCAAAATCACAATGATCAAGTATTAAATATAGCCATTACTGGATTTTATGGTGTGGAACTATTACAATTGAAAAAAATATTGGAATTAATGCAACCTATGGGTATTTGTTTCTCAGAATTCTTAAATAGAAAGACAGATATTCTATTACTAAATATTGCATCTTTGAATAGTATACCAAGGACACATGCTCTTTGGACTAACGAATACAGCGATTTACTTTTAGAGAATTATAAACAATGTGATCCAAATTCTCCTGAGAAAGAACGCCAAAATATTCATATGAGCCCTGTATTTAAAAAATCAATGAAGGAAAAAATTAATTTTGCTAGAGAGAAGCATCCAATACCTATTATTACACCTGCATTTATAATGGATATCTTTCATACAGCAAGAGTATTCACAAGAAACATAATTGACGATGAACCTAAGATACGTATATCAGATAGCAGATGGACAGTTTGTCTACCTAGAGGAAATGCTAGTAGTTTCATTTGCAGATTGAAATATATCGATCCAACCAAGAGTTTAATCCTTAATGGGAACCAAGATTCGCCAAATAAGCAATTAGATACGAAAGTGAAAAAGGAAGATCATATCAGTAGACCTTCATCAAATTTCTCCTCTGCCAAGGCAATGGCGCAAGATGTAGTAAACATCATGCATACCTCTTCATCTGCTCCCCAAAAACTTTTAAGAAAACGGGTTCAACAATCAGAAACTAGTTACAAATCGTCACCTTCTCCAATAAAACAGGAAACGATGACCATTCCTACAATGAAAAGACCAAAATTGGCCATGGTGAAGAAACCTAGACCTGTCGAAAGAGAAGTTAGTTGGGGTAGTATGATTTCCGATGAATTAAAACGTACCGGTCAGGATAAAATAAGACAAGAAAAGAATGAAATACAGGTGCAGGACTCTGTCGAGAATAACGAAGCTTATACACAGGTAACTTATGGTCGCCGTGATCAGGTAGAGCCTGAGAATCATACTACAAAGCGTATGACAAGACACCATGCGAAAGAACTCGGAATATAGAAAATTACATTCATTTATATATATATATATATATATATATATATCATTTAATCAGCATTATAAATATCATTCATATTTAGAGACTTCACTAGTTCTTTTATCAAGAGGTTCTAATTTTGCCCTCCTTCTGGATCACATATTATTATCACATGCATTAAGCTTGCCTCGTTAAGCAACTTCGCTGGAAAAAAAAAAGTGAAAGTGACACGTTAGATAGATCTGTTAAACTTAAAAGGAAGAGAACATATATATATTTATGTTGAGTATAAAGTCGGTGGAACTAAAAAAGAACATTACTGCAAGTGAACAGAGTCTTGAAGATGTCTACTTTAAAGGCCAGAAAGGAAGAGTTTGTTACCGGGCTTAGTGGTGGCTCGATTGAAGAAATTAATATTGTTACCTCAGTTGCTTTAACGTCGTATTTTTGTTGGAACCTTCTAAATGAGGCAAATGGCGACAATCAGTTGAATATATTTGTCGATTTTGCACTTAATTGGTTAGCACTTTTATTTTCTATTACACTATATGCTAGTAATATAAAATTGTTGAGTACTCTGATGACTGTACCGTGTTTAATAACGTTCATTTACTATAAATCAAACAAAAGAGTAACCTCAAAGCAAAAGCAAAAAAAACCAATTGCCAATGATGAGCCATTTCAACTTTTGAGAAAACCATATATATCTGCATATAGATCTGGAATGTTGATTTTAACGTGCTTAGCAATCATTGCAGTTGACTTTCCTATATTCCCTCGTCGTTTCGCAAAAGTGGAAACATGGGGCACTTCGCTAATGGATCTAGGTGTTGGTTCATTTGTGTTCAGTAATGGTCTAGTATCATCCAGAAGATTGATGCAATCAAAGACAAGAGTTAATATTTTTAAACGCCTGATTGGCGCTTTGCGTTCCAGCAGCAGTCTTTTAGTTCTAGGACTTCTAAGATTATATTTTGTAAAGAACTTGGAATATCAAGAACACGTAACAGAATATGGTGTACATTGGAATTTCTTCATTACACTGGCTTTCCTTCCAATTGTCTTGGTGTTTATTGATCCTTTAGCAGAATACATTCCACGATTTGTCATTGCTTTAATATTTTCTGGTATATATGACTGGAAATTAGTTTATGATCCAAAGTTTTTGAAGTTTTTGATTTTAGAGGATAGAAACAATCTATTTACTGCAAACAGAGAAGGTATATTTTCGTTTATTGGCTACTGTGCAATTTTTTTATGGGGTCAAAGCACAGGTTTCTATCTATTGGGAAATGTTCCAACTATTAATAATCTGTACAAGAACTCTACTGTAACTATTGACCACAAGAGAAAATTAACTGGATGGAATAAGTACACCACAGTCAGACCTCTTTCTGGGTTATTAATATGGTCGGCTATTCTAATTACATTAGATCAATTGATCGTAGCATTCCATCCACACGATATCTCCAGAAGATTTGCTAATTTACCATACACTATTTGGGTTGTTGCCTATAATGTTGGGTTTTTAACCATATATTGTGCAGTTGATCAATTGTTTGGAAACTACAAGAAAAAATACAATTTACCTGTTTCGCTGGAAGCTATGAACTCCAACGGTCTTATTCTGTTCTTGCTATCGAACGTCAGTACTGGTTTAATCAACATGTCATTCACTACTATTGATTCAAGTGATTACATGGCATTACTAGTATTAATTAGTTATGCTGCATTTCTGGCTATAGTTTCAACTATTCTTTACAAGAGAAGAATTTTCATAAGGTTGTAGCTCAGTTTAAACTGGACTACATCAGTACATACATACATATATATATATCTTCAAAATTGTCTATGATAAATGCACTATTAGGTTATTATATTTCTTATGATTGTTCCATCAAAGGTTTAATGGTATGCTGCTATATGTATGTATTTAAATTAATCATCTAAAATGATAATTTCACTTTTGTCAATTTTTGCCTTCTTTTTAGCGTTAGCTAATTGTGAGAAGATATCGACCTGGGTTGAGGATACCTCCTTTTTGACTCTGGAAGAAGGGTCTACTACTTTAACCCTTTTTCTGCTTTTGGTAGACTTCAGATCGTTCTCAGATTCCTTCTTTACAGTTGGCTTAACCTTTATGGGCTCTTTCTTAACAGATGTTTTACATTTCAACGATGCAGAATTCTTTGATGGTTCTTTCTTTACAGCTGCCTTCTTTTTCTTTGTTGTTTTTTCCTTCGATATTGGATTTCTAATAGCGTTTGCAAGATTTCTTGCATTTGATATTATAGGTCTATTATCTACTGTTAAATCATCAGGGTTATGCAAGATTTCAGCTGCAGTGGTATCTTCAAACTTAGACCTTGGAGGCGGTACTTCGTTATTAATAGGGCTAACAGTTACTTCTGATAATTGAATTGGCGTAGAAGTTATTCTTCTCGCATTTCTTCTAAATTGGGAACCTGCTCTGTCCGAAACTCTTTCCTCCAAGGAAGATTTAGAAAATGAAGATTCTAGTAGAGAAGTTTGACCTGTGGCTGAAGGGTTTCGAACATTATTATTCCACTGCGGTGGTGGTGCAAATCTCTTTGTTGGAGATTCTGGAGCTCTCGTAGGTGGTGCAAATTGGCGTTTTGGAGATGGTGAACGGTTTATATTATTTGTTGGGGCACATTTTCTTATGGGACTTAATTGCAATGATCTTTCTCCTTGAGTTCTTCTAGTTGGCGAATATGATGGTGCATATTGCTTTTTATTATTAGTTTCAATCTTTAAGGCTGCGGCTGCAGTAGTGAAACTAGACATCGGGGTTGCCATCGATAATTTATTTCGTGATAGATCTAATGAAGCTAGATTTCTTAAAACATTACCTCCCCAAATCATCGACTCTCTTCTATTCTCAACAAATTTTGAATAATCTTTTACTAATGTATGAAAAGAAAAATTCTCATTTAACTTCTCTGGTTTTGCACTTATTGCACGATACAATTTATTAATGTTTGATATTGAATCCAAAGCTTTCTGTTCATCGGTCAAAGTTTTCATTACCTCTGGAGTGAAAAATCGGCTTGGCCCACCAAACATGGGACTATTCGACTCTTCAACTGAAGAAAGATATAACAAATATTTGGCACGAGTTTGGGCTACGAAAAACATACGTCTCTCTTCATCCAAACTCTCATCTGCGTTAGTTGGTCTTTTCGAATTCTTATCATTACTAGTGTCGCCTCCTGTAGAACTATCGGAGTCAGAGTCTTCTTTATTATCTGACTGAAAAATACTTGGGATGATCCCCTCAATACAGCCTGGAATGAAAACGACCGGCCATTCTAAACCTTTGGAACCATGTATCGTAGAAATTGTAACTGCACCTTCCTTTAATCTTGAATCCTGTTTATCACTGTCGCTTATATTATCGGCAGTGAATAATGATAAAGAGTTGAAGAAAGTTCGAATATGTTCAATAATAGGAGAGTCCTTTTGACTATCATCTCTCGGTAGTGAATATTGAGTATCAGTAGGTAATTGCTCAACTTCTTTGGTTTCCAAAAAATAATTTTTTAGAAGTTGAATATTTTTATGTCTAGGGTTATCTAAATTAGCATCTTTATTACTATTAGCACTATTTTCTTTATTATTACGGTTCTCTTTACCGTCTTGGGTCAAATATTCATTCTCCATATCTGACATCTTGTATAAACTATCAAAAATCTCTGATAAAGTTGTAGCCATAGATGATGTATTCTGAAATTTCTCTCTACAAGATTGGATCATATTAATAAATTTGTTAATCACTGATTTTGCTTTGGCATTCATTCCAAGGTTATGTTTTCCAGCCGAAACTTCTCTTAAAGTTTCCATTGCAGACATTGATTCATTAACCTGTTTGTCCTTCATTAATGATAGCATCTTGGAAGCTGATGTTTGGCCAAATCCTCTTGCAGGATATGTCAAAGCTGAGACAATTGCATTTGAATCATTATCAGAATATATACAATTTAATAGATTCAACATAGAGGTAATCTCTTTCAATTCCCAAAATGCATGTCCTTTGACAATTTTATAAGGTATTCGGTGTTCTATCAAAGCCGTTTCAATTGATTTGATCTGTCTACGTTGTCGTACTAATATAGCAAAACTATCGTATGTAAACAAATTTGGTAACGCTTTCAAATAAAGTAATTCTTTGGCCAAGGATGGGCCCTGTATAAAACTAACAGGGAAATTTGTGTAGACAGGAGGGAAATCACAATCGAACTGTGCCCTTAAAGGCAATCTTTGTTGTCTGCCATGCTGTTGTTGATTAATTAAAGTTTCACTTGTATCAAGTATCCGTTGTGATGATCTATAATTTTCCACAAGGATGACTTGGGAACAAGGTAACGGACATTTGTTAGCCATCTGTTGGAAATTATAAGCAAGAGCATTTCTAAATGCATATATACTTTGATCTGGATCACCAACCACCGTGATACCTCTTGATAAATGATGATTACCTTTTGCCAGTAAAAACATCAAATCCATTTGAATACTATTTGTATCTTGGAACTCATCTACAAGTACATGTTGAATCTGGGGTAAACATCTATGTTTACAAAGTAAACGGAAAGTGTACATTAATAAATCATCAAAATCGAGCCCATTCAATGCATTCATTTGGGTTTGGTAATTTGAATAACAATAAGCGAGAGCTTCATCATGTGTAGATTGTTGTATATATTCTTCAGGTAGAAGGGCTGATGATTTCAATCTTGAAATTTCACGTTTAACAATCTTTGGATGTACTACCCAATTATCTCCATTTTTCTTAGAGGGTCTGCATAGATTTATTGTTCTCTTAAAAGATGTAGCATAATCTCTAATTTGATCTGGCATTTGTTGAATGGTATCCATAACAATCTTATCCGTTTCTTTATCATCTAAAATACGCCAGTCTGAGGGTAAACCAATCATTCCACCAAATCTCATTAATATTCGAAGACAAACACTATGAAAAGTTCCAATAATTAAATCATTCAATGAAACGTCCTGATCTTTAAGTAAAACACTCAAACGTTGTTTCATTTCCATTGCAGCTTTATTAGTAAAGGTAGTCACAACAATATTTTGTGGTGGAATATTATAATGTAAAATTAAGTGAGCTACTCTAGCGACCAATACTTTTGTCTTCCCCGTCCCTGGACCAGCCACGACTTGCAAAGCAGCACTAGGGTCAAACTGCACAGCTTGCTTCTGCTGAGCATTCAATGTGTCCATACTCTGGCGGTCTATACGTTGCAGTTCTAGTTCCTAAGAAAAAAGCACAGAAAGTGATCACAGGGTTCGTATTCTGGTCTTTATTATAGGTGTATGTGGATGTATATCTTGCTTTCTTTTATCTATAAGAGGAACTCATCACTTTGTTTTGTTTACAGTTTTTTTTGTTTGGGCTCGAAATTGTTTTTATGACGCGTATGCCCCGAAAATATATTTTCCAAGGTGTTGGGGGTTCAGGAAATGTCGTGTTGTTGGGGGTTTTTCCCTTCTGAGCGCTGAAATTTAATTTGTTTTTTTGGGGAAAGAGTTCCGCCCGCATATTTTTGACACATTTATTGTTCCCAGAAATAAAGTGGCAGACTCTAGAATAGTGATAGGGGCATAATTAGGTCTTCGTAAGGTATTCTCAGCGGGACTTCTAAATTTACAGCTACATAGAGCAATTTTGATAGTCCAGAGGCTTACGAGCATGGTAATAAGAGATGGGGATTCTGGGAAATGCATTTACAAGGGATATACGTCATGTCTGTTGCATATTATTGTATATAGAGTGATCTTATGGCTGTCTGTAGCTTGGCTAGAATCGTTGGGTACGTTGCCAAGTAACTTGACAGACAACGAAGGCCACAATATGAATTATACTTCTACTTCAATTATCTAAGCTTTTGAATGGAAGATACTTCTAGAAGATACTGCTCGTATTACTCTAGTGATTAAAAGGAACAAGATACACAGAGTGTGGAATAGTCCGTAAAAGGAAAAACAATGTTACCAATAGATAGATTATCTCCTTCCCACTTGCAAGAGATCATAAAACTATTTATGCATTTTTGGATGAAGAACTCAATGATTAAAGCTAAATGCAAAGACTAGTATACAGTTTATATATTGTAAAGACGGTACTGATCATGAAGTGTACAATTATTTGGTATTCGTTTATCACTTGCTATATAAAACAGGGGTTCCATACCACTTAAATATAATTCCGATATATGGTAGATTACTCTGTTACGAAAAGTCAGATATCGCAAAATATGGTAAAGGGAACGGATGAGTTAGCAATAGGGCAATTGGCAATTGGCAATTGGCAATTGGCAATTGTTAATTGCATTCTTTATTAGATGATTCCTTTACCTGAGTTACGACAAAACCACTCATACTTTTGGGAGTTCTCTTAACTTTTATATTTTCTATTGTTTTAACGGCTGCATTGCTAGTGGAATCCCAAGTGTATTGTATTGTCATGTCATTCCTCCTTGTCTTTCTCTTACCATCGAAACGTTGTTCTGCTTTGCATCGTAATTACACTGCTTCTCTTTCCTTTTAGTACGGAGCGGGATTAATTTTTCTTTGTTTATTTCTATTGCAAGGATTTATGGTGGATTAGTTAAACAATAGATGAGGTCATTGGCACATATATTACTAGATATTACAACCACCGTTCTTACAAATCTAGAGTCAAATATATATATATATATATATATATATAAGTGGAAGGGTTTAAATACATACACCATACAAACACACATCAACTCGGCAAAACGTTAACGATATATCCGATGCAATTATGGCAGGGTCGATCAGTACAGAGGCCTCTGTGGATTCTGCTTTACATCAAGCACTTAAATTCCATAATGAACGTGTCTCTATAATTAATGAAGACCCTTCATCAAAGACTTTTTTATTTTGGTTTGTCGTCTCATGTTATTTCCCTGTAATAACAGCCTGTTTGGGTCCGATTGCAAACACCATATCAATCGCTTGTGTTGTGGAACGATGGCGTAGTAATAGAATTGAATATATTGATCATGGAATTAATGGAGTTCAAGCATCACCAGTAAAAGTAGCTGATCCAAAAGGTATATTTGCAGTAAATATTTTATCTCTAGTGTTTGGATTCATTTCAAATGCTGTTTTGATTATGCATTTCACAAGAAAATTGAGTTATTTAAAGTCTCAAGCGATAAATATCACTGGTTGGTCATGCGCAGGTTGGTTATTATTAGCTGATGTCATATTTTGTTCTAAAAATGATATGCCAGATGGTTTTCACAGAACTATCGGTTTTTGGTTTGCCTGTTTCACTTCAGGTCTTTATTTAGCATGTGCAGGGACTCTATCGCTACATTTCATTGGGTTTAGATTAGGTAAATATCCAGCTACTTTCAATTTATTTACTAATGAAAGAAGTATCATTTTATTTACAGTCCTATTATCGCTATGGCTGATTTGGGGATCTGCAATGTTTTCGGGTTTAATAGGAGTATCCTATGGGAATGCACTTTATTTTTGTACAGTATCTCTATTAACTGTAGGGTTTGGTGATATTTTACCACCAAGTGTGGGGGCTAAAATTATGGCTTTGATCTTCTCGGTAAGTGGTGTTTTATTATTAGGTTTGATTGTCTTTATGACAAGATCAATTATTCAAAAATCATCAGGTCCAATTTTTTATTTCCACAGACTTGAAACTACTCGTGCTAAGACTTGGGATAAAGTTAATAATGGGAAATTGAAATTAACTAACAAAGAATCATTTGAATTGATGTCCAGATATAAACATTCAACTAAACTTAGAGAACACTTATTTTCTTTAATGATAACCACAATTGTTTTCTTAATGTTTTGGTTGCTTGGTGCAATGGTATTTCATTACGCAGAAGGTTGGTCATATTTCAATTGCATGTATTTTTGTTTCTTATGTTTAATAACCATTGGATATGGTAGTGATTTTGCACCAAAGACAGGTGCCGGTAGAGCATTCTTTGTTGTTTGGGCAATTGGTGCAGTTCCATTGATGGGTGCTATATTATCCACATTAGGTGATGTCCTATATGATACTGCCAACAAATTGGATACTGATTTCGCTAGAAGGTTTGGATTTGCTATCAAATATATGATCGTCAATACTACCGTTAATGCTGCTCGGGCAGAGAGGACTCATCTAAGACATGGTCATCATAATCATCGTCATCATCATCATCATTTGAAAGTTCGGAAGTTGTTCGTCACACAGGATTCTGTGGTTGACTCGGTTGATGACGCTCAGGATATAGGTGGAACACCAGAATTGACTACTGATTTAGCATATAAGATAGATAATGGTAACGAAACATACCCGGAGGATAATACTACTGGTAGTACAACTGGTATCTCAACAAGGGAATCTTATTTACGAGGTCATAATATTGATAATGATAATGAAGACCAACTAAGATCTAATAATGAAACGGATTTAGAAGCTCAACCGGAAGCCTATTCACGTCGTAATAGTATGAAGACGGAGGTTTCCACGAGCCACAGAGGCGACGCTTCAGATGATTCTATCGATCCCTTGGAGGTAATCAATCTATTGACAGATAGGGATAGCATACAGACTAAAGACGCTCTGTTTTATAAATTGGAAGATTTGCAACGACAATTAATTGATTTAAGGAAATTGCATCAATTATCTATCACAAATCCAGATTATTCTTTAAGTTTTCAACAATGGACAAATTTAAGAATACTTAATAAACATTCACTTAATGAACAAAATAACAGTATAGATTTAGAAGAATCGAATTTCTGGTTATCTGCAAATACACCATTAAGGTTCCCATTGAACGAACCGCATTATGCATTTAACAGATTGTTTCGACATATTGATGTACAGATAGATCGTCTGTTACATGATACAAGGGATGCGATTAACGATACAGGTAATTCCACACAATCATATTTTGGATTACAAGAACAGCCTTTTCCAGCTTCTACACAGAAACGTAGAAATAGAGCATTTACTAACCAATCTTTACCCATACATTGGAACGAGGATATATTCCAATCTGTGGATCCTGATAGATCTTTCCTGAGACCATCATTATCAGGAAAAGGGGACGATGAATCATTAGCGACATCAAATTCCAGTGAGACTCCGGATTTCACACCTGAGTCATGATCTCATGCATTAAGAGTATAGATGTTTATGTCACACACGTACTCCTGATTTGATTTTGTTTACATATTTATAAATATTCACGATATATAATAATTAATACTTAACGACAAGTTATTGAATTTAACGTATGATCTTATAAAAAATTCTCGAGTTTATGTAAGGAACGAAATCAAAAAGAAAACAGTACACCTATTAGAACATACTGAACTGCAGAAACTGCGACAACGAATATTGAAACTACTAGCTAGTTGTATCCAGAAATTTTAAACAGTCAAACAATCTAGATTTCGTTTCTTAAACATTATAATAGTATTTTAAGATATTAAGGGAAATGAAATAACTAAAACTTGCATACATCCTTTCAACCTTTTGGAGATAATCATTTAGTTATAACTGTACTACGCATTGAGTAATTCATTCATTAGTAGGGCATGTCATAATATATGGTTATTCGTCGCTATATCTCAAACTTTCCTTATTGAATTATTTCCTCTTCTCTCTCTGTAGATATATATACATTTATATCAATAACCTTTTTCGGCTTTGGGTTCATCTCAAAAGCCCTTCTCCATTTTCTTGCACCTTTAAACTTTTCAGAAAATATCGATACATGCATAACATATTAATAAAAGAATAACTCCTAGCCTTAGATGAAAAGAAAGAGGTAAAGATCAATAACTACTGTTCTAGCTATCCATATTCATTTAATATTAAATTCTGAATTAATATATTTACAACTAAACACATTTACGGCAATACTATTCTTAAATAATGGCTGGTCAAGTGGGCGGTGTCTTATCGGGGGCAAATCCGTTCCACTACAACTCTAGTTCTCCTTTAACATTATTTTTATTTCAGGCATGTCTGATCATAGCAACATGTAACCTTTTGCACTTGTTCTTTGGTAAATTACGTCAACCAAAGGTTATTTCTGAGGTTATCGCAGGGATCATATTGGGTCCCACTGTATTTGGTCAAATACCAAACTATACTGAAACAGTGTTCCCTGCATCATCTATTCCAGGATTGAATCTAACTGCAAACCTGGGTATTATTCTTTTCATGTTTTTTCTGGGGTTAGAAGTCGATACTGCATTTATGAAAAGGCATATGAAGACAGCCTTATCTATGGGTTTAGCTACGTTGGCTGTACCATTTGGATTTGGTTGCCTTTTTGCAATTCCTCTCTATCATAATTATTCAAGTGAGGAAGATACCGGAAAGGAGGTGAAATTTACTGTTTTTATGGTATTTATTGCTGTATCGATGGCTGTTACGGCATTTCCAGTGCTATGCAGAATTCTTAACGAGTTACGTTTGATTAAAGATAGAGCAGGTATTGTCGTTCTAGGGGCAGGGATTATTAATGATATTCTTGGGTGGGTCCTTTTAGCCTTAAGTGTAATCTTATCGAATTCTGAGTCAAGTCCCGTAAACACTGTATACATATTATTGTGTACATTTGGTTGGTTTTTGGTATATTTCTATCCATTAAAATATGCTTTGAGATGGATCTTCATAAGGACCCATGAACTAGATAGAAATAAGCCTTCTACTTTCGCCACTATGAGTGTGTTATTCATTATGTTTATATCTGCGTATTTCACAGATATAATAGGTGTGCATGCGATCTTTGGTGCCTTTATTGCGGGTCTTGTAGTTCCTAGAGAGAATCATTATGTTGTTAAACTTACTGAGAGAATGGAAGATATACCGAATATTGTGTTTATACCAATATATTTTGCAGTAGCAGGTCTGAATGTGGATTTGACACTTTTGAATGAAGGTAAAGATTGGGGTTATATATTTGCAAGTATTGGTATTGCTGTGGCAAGTAAAGTATTTTCTGGTGCAATTGTTGCAAAATTGCATGGTTTATTCTATAGAGAGTCATTGGCTGTCGGTATCCTGATGTCATGTAAAGGTATTGTTGAGATCGTTGTTTTGACCGTCGGTTTGAATGCTGAGATTATTAGCAAAAAAATATTTGCAATGTTTATTCTTATGGCTTTGGTATCTACGTTTGCTACCACTCCCCTAACTCAATTAGCATATACAGAATCCTATAGGAAAGAATTAAACAAGACTCTAGCCATGAAAGATACAGAGCACGGGGTAGAAGAGACGGAAGAGACGGAATTATCTCTCGAAGAGGAACATATAGCTAATACGCTTTCGTCATTTGAAGATTTGAAATCCTTCCATATTACAGAAGTGGTTACCGTTTTAAACACCACTGACGCTATATCTGCATGTTTAGAATTTCTGAATTGTTTAATCTATGACAATTCACATGATCAATCTAAATTCATCAATGTTCCAAGAGCAAGAGTATTGAGTAACAGTTCTAGTCATTCAACATTAAGATCAAGGACCAAAAGATTGAAACGTCTTTGGTCCAAGACTACTGAAGATAACGAAACAGGTTTAACTGTGATAGAAGAAGATATTTTAGGGTTTGATTTTCTGGTTCCATTAAACGTTCTTCATTTAAGATTATTAACAGAAAGAACGACTGATTTATTACAATCGTCCACTCTATATAATGAAGAATCTCATTTCACTCCGAATTCAGATTCTATTATAGGGATATTTGATATATTTTCTCGTTTAGGGAAAGTTCCATTTTCAAGTGAAGTTATATTTTCAACCATTAGAGAAAAGGCATTAAACATTAAATCTTCAAACATTAAAGAAGGAAATTTAGTATTTCTTCCTCTGAAGGGTGCATTATACGAATATAAAGGATCGATTGCATTGAATGATGAGAAGTATCAAAATTTTAATCACATATATTCACACCTGTTGGGTATTAACGAACTTGCATCCAATTTCTTCAACACGTTGACTAATCTTAACGCAAATTTAGCTATGTTGATTTCCAATACGAGTAGTAAAATGAATGTAAACAAATTTGCTACAAGATATTTTTCTTTGGTGTTAGCTAATGAAAATTTAACCTCTTCAGATTTTTTAGCTTTGTATATTTTTCTGTTGATATTTTACAGAAATAGAAATAAACAAATGAATAACAAGAGTACAATCTTTGTGAATGAAAAAAACCATGTCCTTGCCGAGCATTTATTTGATACTTTCCAGAACTGCGAATGGTTAAGCGAAGAATATCTTAATATTATATATGTGAAGACAGAACATAAGACAGCTAACGATATTGCCACAGTATCTTTTATCGAAAGTATTATGAGAAATTACCTTCCCGAGGAGGCGAAGGAAAGTTTGGAAGAAACGACATTCATAATGGCGGAACCATACTTTCAATCCACAGAACCATTTTCAGACGGAGTTAAATCAGCAATTCTGGAGGGTGCGAATTTAAGATTTGATCTTCTACTCGTTCATCACTATACATGTAACATACCAGAAGAAATTACAACAAGCGAAACCGATAAGGAGATTGTCACCGATAACGCCTAGTTCGATTATTTTTAATCGCCTGGAACATACTTTAATTGCATTTAATCATTATTCTATAATATTCCATACTATCACATACAAATATATAAATAAAATTCGAAATATATACTACATATTGTTATCTTTGATTCCTTCGTGGGAAGAGATTCTTAACTTGGTAGAATTTATCTTATCATTAGATTTAATAAATTCGTAAAGTTCCGTGGAATCAAAAACGTATTTATTGCTGTCCTTTAAAAATGGATGACTTAGTAAGTCATCCGCTGTTGGTCTCTTTTCTGGGTCAATTTCGAAACAGGCATCCAAAAATTGTCTACCAGCGCCAGATATTAGTGGTAGTGTATCATCAGGAATAGGTGGAGCAGATTTAGATTTCCCAATCTTGAACATTGCGGCTACCACCTCTAGATTAGACCATGGCCTCTTCCCAGCAAACATTTCTAAGACAACACAACCAAGGGCCCATATATCAACCTTTGCACTGTATCCTTGTTTAGTGTCCACCATCTCGGGAGCCATCCAAAAGACTGTACCCCTCATAGTCATATCAGAATTAGAATAAATATCCTTGGATTTTTTAGAAATACCAAAATCACTAATCTTACAAATACCATCCTGGTCTAGTAAAACATTGTCTGCTTTCATGTCTCTATGCAAAATTCCACGGGAATGCAGATATGATAGACCCTCGAGGACTTGAAAGGTAAGGTACTGAATTAACGGTTCATCGAATCTACCATACATTCTAATAAGAGAACCAACAGAACCACCTGCCACATATTCTAAGAATAAACTATAAATGTCGTCCTTAACCTCGAATCCAAGATATTGAACAATATTTGGATGGTCTAAATCTTTCAATGTAGACACCTCAAACTCCAAAGCCTCCACCATGTTCATAATATTTTCATCTTGTGAGCTATATTTAGGCACCTCAACTTGTTTAACTGCCATCATTTCACCGGTCGTTACGTTAAGTGATAGATAAACGGCACCAAAGGAACCTTTCCCAATCTTTTCCCCCTTAATCCAAGCAAATTCTTTATATTCACCTTTTGAATTTTTAGCTTTGTTTATAGCAACAGCCTGCTTATCGGTAATTTCAACAACTTTGGTACCCCACATTTTGGTATTCTGTCTCTTAATCTTCATAGATTGCTTTCTCTTTTCACTTGCTTCGTGGGCAATTGTTCTAATAGTTTTAGCCCTTTTAGGTGTCTTGAGACGCCTCATATTTCCAGAAGAAGGTGGTTCATTTTGTGAGTCTGATTCAGGTTGTTTGAATGGATTGTTTTGAGGAGTATTCGAGGACGAGGACTGTGATACTTGAAAAGATTGTCTCATTGAGATTGGTGATGTTGGAGTTAACCCGCCTTCAACAACTGGTTTATCTAAATTGGCGCTTGGGAAGAACTTCTCTAAATTTTGGTAAACTACTTCAGGCGATGGTCTTAATGTCATCTTACGAACTAGTACATCCTTCCCTGTAGTTGGAGTTACCAGCACAACGTCAGAATCAGCTTTATCCTGTGTTTGAGTTTTTTCTGGGGAAAATTCATTTCTCTTATCCGAGGCGTTAGACCAGATAATATCATCTGATGAGTCACTGTTATAACTGTTCTCATCCTTGTTGGAATCAGTGTCTGATAATGGAGGAGCATCAGCGAATGTGATATCATTTTCGACAAAAACATCGGCAGCACTCGCAGATGACACAATTCTTCTTGAACTACCTCTTTTTAGTAACCCAGGCGAAGGTGAACTAAATATAGAATTTGACGCTGATACTACAGAACTGGATCTGTTAAGGTTCTGTTTGTTAATGTAAGATAAAGCAGGATTATGATATTCCTCCTCTGTTTTCTTTTTTCTTGTGATATCGCTTGCTCCTTTGTAGGGTTGTGGAACTAATACTTGGGTAGATGCAGGAGTATATGACGACACTATTGTGTCAGACACGGGACTTGTAGTTTCTACGGGTGCTTTGGTTACACCATTCGGAATTGGTCTTGTCATATTCTTCATCTTACGTTTAGTACTTGTTCTTCTAAGAGTTGGTTTTAAATTTGTGTGACTAGATAGAGAGACATTTCTTGGTGGGGAGACGTTACTGGGTGCTTTGGGAGCATTTCTCTTAGGTGCTAATTCTGAATCAATATATGGAGATTCTCTTCTCTTATTAAAATCAATTTCTCCTGTATCATCTTTTCTTAAGACATTGAAACTACTTTTATTGTCAGAATCTGCTTGTAAATTACCCGTTCTTTTCTTATCAGGTAGATGTAAATTGAACTTCTGGGCTGGTTTAGATGTCATAATTGGCGCTGGTAATTCATCTGGTACTTGCTCTTTAACATTCCAATAGTTAGTTTCTTCTGATCCACTATTATTCAACACAGCATTATCATAATAATAACTTGGGGTTTGAGGATATCTACGGAAATTGTTACTTGGTGAGTGATCCTCAGATGAAGTAATATCAGACGACGATGTTACGATTGACACATCATCAGTTGTGCCATGTATGCTGCTGGTAACCGACCTTACGGAACCTTTACTTTTCACAGACCGCAAGGTATGCTGAATATCACTAGATAACGTTCCAGTCCTTAGTCTATTTTGAATCTTACTGTGATCCTTGATATAAAATTGTAGAGTGCTACCCTTGAAAGAATTATTTACTAGCATACTGATAATATCGTCGGTAAGTGGCGATCCTATATCCCCTTTAAAGTTTGTCATATGTACGCACATTTGTTTAGCACTTATATTTAGTCTTGTACATATAGTATCTTTGAATGTTTCCGGAGAATTGAATAGGCTAATTTGGAATGGAATGTAACTTTTATTATCTTTAGTAATAAGGATATATGTTTCTCTGTCTTCATCTGTAAGGGAATTACCTGGAAAATATTTAGGATCCACACTCAGAACTGGTTCTTTAGAACTATTTTCTTTTTCGTCATCCTTTGCAAGAGTAACAATGGGGCTGTCAGTCAATGTTTCGCTAGCAAGTGTTTGCTTTTTAGAGAGTTTTGAAGACATAGATGAGACACTTGGCGATTGTACGTCATGATTTACCTTGCCTGGTGTTAATGTAATCACACTTGAACTCCTTGATGGAGCTACCGGAGTTGGTAAGGCAGAAGAAGAATATGGACTTGAAAATTGACTCCTTCTTTTTAGTTTCCCCCAAAGATTTGATTTTTCTTCTTGTGCATTTGACTTTGTGGGTGACAAAGATGACGACTCATGGTTCATTCTTAATTTACTTGCTGCATCAAACGATTTCCTCTTGTAACTGTCTGAAGGACTTTCGATAGATCGAGGTTTTGTTATAGTATTGTGTATCTTATTCGTATTTGGGGATACTCCACTGCCATTCTTATTCGTGACAGGGAGATTGGAATTTGAAGAATTGTTATGTGATGTACCGAAAATTGCATTCAAAAGAGATGATTCAGAAGAACTACTTTTGTGGTTCCTCCTAAAGATGTTTGGATATGACGATGGGGATAATGGTGGCGTATTTGATTTACTCGAAGATGCAGTTGATTCAATAATAGAGGATGGCCTTGATGGAATTTTTAATTTGATGTTGGAAGTAGCGTTTGTTTGTTGGTTAGATCCCTGTTGATTATTGTTATTTGGTGTAGGTGTCGACGGTGTTAATGAACCACGTAAGGATATGAAACTTTTCCTGTAGAGAACACTGGCACTTTTCGTTTTCTGATGAGTTCTCAATTGAGGATGTTTGGATTTATCCTCTGTTTTTGTTGGAGCTGTTTTTATTGGTGACATCATAGATTCGGATGCGGATCTTGAAGTATTGTCAATTTCTTCCTTAGTTTTATTCTTGATTGATTCACTAGAGCTTCTTGATGATTTCAACTTATCCGAAGACCTTACTCTGTTATGTCCATTATTATGATTACTATTGGCTACATTTTTTGTCATAGTTTGTTTTAACAATGTCTGGAATTTCTTATATGATGCAGTCTTGGATTGCGGTAAGTATTTCTCATAGACTGCAAAATTCTCATATGCAAGTAGTTTAATAAAATTCTGTCCGACAAGTCTTTGCTTCTTGAAGGTTGAAATCCACGTATCTGGGAATTCGTGGAATTTTAGCCATGAAACTATACGTTGCATGTTCCATTCATCGGGATCTGTGGGATCCCAGGATAAGATTAATTTGTCAAATGAAAGACTATTGATACTGTTACCTGATGATTTTCTTGATGAGGACTGAGTAGAAAACTCTCCTCCGTATGCATTAGAGTTTCTTTGAGAAGGTTTAGTTGAACTTATATTTAACGTTGACGACGAAGAAGCTGCCATAGATGGGCTATTGGGAATATTATCAGCTGAGTAACTGTCAGTCAATGTATGGACTTCTAGTTGATCGGATAATGATCCCAGTGGTGTCTTTTCAGATGAATGGTGCTGTGAATCATAATTTAGTTTGGACCCTGTAAAAGCCATTGAACTTCTAAGATCGTTTGTGGAATGTCTATTTTTAGCGTAATCGCTACTTATTCTATTGTGAGTTTTCAAAGTATAACCAGCAGCAGACTTTGCTGAGGGAGCAGAATTTGATTTTGAATGATTTGAATTCTCAGATACATTTACTGTACCTTTCTTGAGGAACGTCATCAATTCCCTTCTTTTAGTTGCCTGGTTTGCTCTTTACTTTTTGCCTTTGTTTATGGCTGTGCTCACTGAATGTTTATGATCTATATATATATATATATACGGCTGTTATAATTGAAATTTTCAGTTCCGAGGGGAAAGACAGAGAGATTCAGCGAAAACAAGCAGAGGATCAAATCAACCAATACATAGATTAGCATTTTTTCTTTAGAAAGATGGGATTACTTCAGTTGTACATCGTTGTTTATCAAATATATAAGATGCTACATAAGTCTGTGTATTTGCTTGTGTAGGCTCGGTTCTTCACATTTGATACACCTGAAAAATCAAGTAATAAAATCTTGTACATTGATGGGCTAATTTATCCATTGATAGATGGTTGACATTTGTAATAGACTATTTATGTGTGCATGTGAATTTATAGGATTATATTTATTTATTTTTATTTACAGGCTGTAAATTTTAGAAAGAATACATAATGATAAAATGAGATGTGGGTAGTGCTGTGTTGAAAGAAAAGGAGTTTCAATTGTTCTTTAAAGGTTTTGAACATCTCAATTTACGGACAACTCACTGATTCTAATCATAGTTAGATCACCTTTACTCTTAGCATGACGTACTCTTCTATTTCTTCTCTTAGTAACTTCTCTTATTTCAAACTTACGTTTCGTCTTCTCCAGAACAGTCGCTTTCAAATTATATAACGAAGGATCTATAGGGTCATTCACTAACTTGTAGTTTCTGGACCCAATAGTTCTGACATCGGTAAGGTTTAAAATATCTCCAACTTCGGCATTCTTCACTTTATATGGTAATATGACTTTGTCACCTTCTGTTACCACATATGGTCTACCGTGAACTCTAAATTCGGCAAATAGTTCATTTGACAGTTTCAATGGAGTTGTATCTACCGGTCCCGTAAGGGTACTCTCTTTCACAGGAGTATTTTTAGTCGATGTACTGTTATAGCGAATGAGCATACCTATACCCATAGAAGGCGTCCCTTTTCCCAAACATTTCATTGGGCCTACATTGATAGCTACCGCACGACTTAAGCTTCTAAGCATTTTTTTCCTTTTTGGTTTAGCAGTTGTAACAGTTATGGATGTAGTAAATGACTAAAAATAGTAAACACTCTTTACTATATTTTGTCTTGCATTCCTTCTCTTTATGTGTATTTGATATGATAAATCCTTTCTCTTTCATTGAATTCAACTTGCTCATAGCACTTTGCCGAACTTAGAGGACATATCGACACCTCGTCGGGAGTGATTTTAGTCAAAATATTCTTAATATATAAAGACATATATATACATATATATATATATATTTATTTATTTATTTATTTATAGGGGGTGTGTATAGTTTAGGGCCTATTTAGTTACTTAAACAGAACTCCCATTGCTTGATTAGTCCTTCTTTTGAGATGTTTTGCCCTCCCTCAGTGATTTCATGACTTTGCGTCTTTGAACGACCATGTGAGAGAACAGCATTGGTAGACCTGGTAAATAAGTTAACATTGAGAAGATCAAGCAGTACTTGGCATACACTGAGTATTTCTGCTCAGCAACTGATAATGAACTGTAGATTAATGTCAATTCACTAGCAACACCAGTTGGATATAATATCAAAAATAAATTATATCTTAAAAACAACAAAATTGTAGGTGGTCCACTCTTGAATGACAATGTGAAGAAATAAAATATATATCTAACAACCTCTGTAATGGACCATGCACTTAATAATGTAACATAAGCAATTGAGCCAGTGGCAGGTGTCTCAGGTAGTAAACGGAAAATACCAATCACTACTAATAATCTTGATAAAACTTGAGCAGATGTGGTCACGATTGGAGAACGCACAATACCTAAAGCAGAATTGAAAACTTCAATCACTGCACCGCATTGAATCAAAATCACGATATCTTTAGTTCTGAGATAATATTCAGGTTGGCCTAATACAGGGTACCATGCAACGACAGTATATAAAATGTATGCCCAGCCGGCAGCGGATACTAAATTGTAAAGAGCTAATGGTGAAAGCGGATTCACAGTTTTTGATTTGCTCATATTGAATTAGCTAAATATAATGTTTGGCAAAGACAGGGTAGCAATTAGTCGTTATTTACCTGCAAAAATAATACTTGCAAAATCTACTAGTGGTTCCTCTTAAGAGCCATAAACCTTTCAAGATATCCATTTTTTGCTTTATTGGCGAGCGAAGCGAAAAATGGATAGAAAAGTTGTTGAGCTCATCGAATAATTCGACAAAGTTTGGGTCTTATTAAATGGTGGATTTATTAAAGTTACAGATTTATAAAATTTGTTAATTGGATATTCAGGATATAAAAAGAAAGTTATTAAGGTAGTAAGGTTGGATATGCCTTTGAAGTAGCGTATTGCAATTGCAATCAGAACCATCGCCTTTCCGAGGCTTTCGTGGAATCATCGCCTTTCCGAGGCTTTCGTGGAATCATCGCCTTTCAGAGGCTTTCGTGGAATCATCATCGTTCCATAATACATTCTCTTTACTTGTAGACCGGCATAAGGAATATGCCTCGTAGTCATCATTAACGTCTTCGTCTTCGTCATCGTCTTCATCGTTGCTGTTGTACGCGTATTCATCATCAAGGTTTTCTTCGAGTTCGGCATCGCTGTCGTCGCTGAGTTCGTCATCTTCGAATGGAGACAATACTTGCGAATAAGCAACGTTTGCTACACGGTGTAAATCATTATTTTTAGATTCCACAGTTTCTTCCTCGTTATCGCTATTGTTGGTACTGTTGTTACCACTATTGTTATTACTGTTAGAACTATCACTACTACTGCTAGCACTGCTATTGTTACTATCACTACTGCTATTGCTAGAATTTCCACTGTGGTCATAATCCTCGTCATCGCTATTACTCTTTCTATATGCTGGGTTGTATTGTTGTTGGAATATATCTTCGTCATGTAATTCTGGAGACGCTGGATGAGAACGTTTCCGTAGTCCATTTATTAAAAACGATTTTGAGTCTGATTTGTTGCCATCGACATTGTTGTTGTTGGTTTCTACATCGAGGTATTCAGGCCCATGATCTTCTTTAGTTCTTTTAGCACTACCTGTACTAGTTGTACGCCCAAGTTCATCAGACATGTACTTGTCAAAGCGACTATCCTCATTATCACCTGTAACATCGTCTAATTTTTTATCTTCTTCTTCAGCTTCATACATATCTTCGAACGAATCATCTGCCTCTATGTCTATATCATCGTGTTCTTCATCATTATTTATATTTTCATCTAGGTTCCCAGCATTTTCGTTTTCAATATGTTCATCAAGATTTTCGTCAGGTTGGTCATATTCATTTTCATCGACGTTATCCATATCGTTAATGATTTCACCATTTTCATCAACCACCTCACCTAAGACCATATCATATTTTTCTCTTGTAGTCATTAAAGTGGTATTCACATATTCTTTCCATTGTTCATCTGCAAGAGATTCGGCAATGACAGGAGTCACAAACGTTAATTTTAACTCATCGAGATATATCGAAAATTTTACTATTTCCTCGGCAACTAATGTTAGGTGACCCATATAACCCAATCTGAGGTGGTTCTCTTCTTCTTGTGTATTACTATCAAGATCACCATTTATGATTAATTTTGTAATCTCCGCGTTGACCAATAAGTCTCTTATTAAGAATTTGTTGAATGATATTTTTAGTGGACCATTAAATACCTGTTGAATGATATCAAATACGACATTATGTAAGAAATTATTCCATTTAAAATGGAATAACATCTCAAGAATGGTAGTAATAATTTGTGTATCGGATAATGCAATTTTCAACCTGTCACCAACGACAGGAGTTTCCCTTAAGTCTTTCATAGCCTCATCTGAATCGTCAATAACATCAGATTCTTCGATAGTTTCCTGTGTGACGTCATCTTGGTCCATTGGTTGGCTACTGTTGAGTTGCAACGAGTTGAGTTGGGAAGTCATTTCTTCACCGTCTGGTGAAGCTGCCTCTTCCAATTGTTTCTTTAATAAGATTTCTCTTGCGTGATCACGCTCCTCTATGATTTGTGGAGCCTTCTTTTCATTTAGCAAGCTCATATTCGAACAATGTAATAATTCCGCGACCAATTCACAGATCTTAAATCTTTCAAAACCTACAGGTTCAATTCTTCCAAAGGAGGTATCTAATATGGGCGTTGTTGTTTCTACTAATATGTCGTTGAATGCGTGTATGTTTTCAGCAAAAAGTTTTAGCATATGACCTAGATATATAGGATCACGATCATTAGGTGGATGTGTTTCCAACGTTGTATGCATAACTTGAACATAATCATAGTCAGAATTATTTTTTCTGATTAATTCAATTATGATTCCAACACCGTTACTCAAGCATGTTCCACCTTTTAACATATTAGCAATCAATTCACTCATTACTTTGTGTGACGCAAGCTCCCTGGTTAGTTCATTTGGACCAATACCAGAAGCAACTTCATCTATACAATTTCCACTGATAGCAATAAACGCTTTTAGAAAATCTGCTGCTGCACATTGTGTAGTTGCATCACATTCAGGTCCTAATTTTTTTAACAATTTCGGTATAAATTCTTCTTGTTTCAACTTATGTAATACGCCATTTGGCTCATCTGGTTTATCCGTCGATATAAGTTTTAGTAAGAAGTCCATCAAAGGAGGATTGGCGATATGTAACAGACATTTGTCGACTAAAATTTGTTGGTTTTTAATGAAATTGATCATCGAAGTCATATCTGTGTCCAATAAACGTTCATTGATTTTCATGAAATAAGTCGATATATCAGTAGATATTGGTTCATCTTTCTTTACAACAGACCATAGCTTATCTAATATTTCTGATCTTTCAGTAAGGGCAGTAGATATTTGCCATACGTCAGCAGACAAAATTTCTGCAGCCATGTTTGCCCTTCTGATAACAGCATCCTCTTCAGTTTCTTCCCCATTTTCTCGTTCGTCTTCTTCTTCTTGTTTTTGCTGCTCATCTGTTTTGAACACTTCTGTCTTTTTATCATTGTTATTATTGTCATCATTACTATCATCGCTAGTCGATGACATGTTTGTCTGGCTTCTTTTATGTTCTGTAATGACATAATCTATCAGTTTATCCAATACCTGAGGGTATTTCAAATATATTAACAGTTGAAAATTTGAACACATCAGCTCCGTATACATTTCTTCGTCATCCAATAATTCATCGATAACGTCTAAGTTGGGTTTATAATTTTCATATTCTTCCTCTTGATCAGGTAACTTCACAATAGTAGTATCATTCTCTTTCTCGCTATCCTGTTCAAGATCAATATCAGAACTTTCGGAGTAAACATTACTACCAGTCTCACTAGTTGCTTTCGTCACCTGTTGACTAGTAATGGACTCATTATCATCACCATCTTTATGAATCTTTATAAAGGCTCTATTTAGAATCCTAGAGACAGATGACTCGGAAGAGTAATCCTGGCCAAATTTCCAGAATGAACCTGACATTATATCACTTTTCTGTAGTGTGCTTTAACAGTGTTAATGAATAATTAATAGAAATATATCTTTCAGGTATGTTATCCAAAGATGTGATTAGAATACTAAAATCAATCGATTAGGTCTTGAGAAGATCACGAGAGCAAAAGTGATGTAATTAATATAAAACTGGATTTGTAGAACTTAATCTAGAAAACTATTCAAAATAAAAGGAAAGGTAATAAAAAAATTTCCTAGATTTCACTTCGTCAAGAATGAAAATCTTTCTTTACGTGAACAGTATAGAGTCTATCAATCTTAATAACTTTTTTAATTAAAATTTTAAAGGGATGTGTGCAATACTAGCAAATATACCCCACAAATAATGTAGATATAATTCTTTATATGACTCTATCTTACAAAGAAATCGGCTTTATCCTCATCTGGGAAACAGCTTAATTTAGTTATATAATGGGAGTTGATGGTTAACTCCCTTGCGACGCTCAGCACGTCCGATGCCCTCAAAATTTTTCAATTCGGGTAAAGTTACCCGCACGGTTACAGAAAGAGTCTATCTTAATACTAATAAACAGTCTATTTGGATGTATGATTACAGTTTTGGGTTCAACCCAGATACGTATTTTTACTATATATTTGGTCACTCTTTAGTCATAACATCAACCCACCCCAGCATACGATCTACTGTTGTAATGAAAGAGCGATTAGCATAGGGTAAGGCGGTGATTCGAGATTTCACCCCCTCGACAGTAAGAACAGCACATAATTTAAACAGAACTTGTAAATTGAGTATTTGGAAACTATCATAGAAACGTTTTTCGTAGGATATCTTTTGGACAACAAGTTCAAGGACAAAATCAAAATCTAATATTTCGTCACCATCTGGGTTGTAGTCGATAAATATATCTAGAAGAGTTTTACAACTGACATAATCGAATCGAGTAATCATACTAGTTCGTAAACATGCAATAGCGTCGTCCCATTGCCATGCTCTGAGCATTGTAAGACCTAGTAATTCCCATTCCAGGCCACTATACCTAGCTTCATTGTTGTCTAAAAGTCCTCGACTCAATTTCAAATCGTCGTAAATATCTAGAAACAATTGATCTAACCATCTCTCTGTTATACGTTTTTGGCGAACTTCCATCGGTATGTCCTTGTTTGTCAAATTTGGAGATCCACCATGTTCCATAAATTCAGACTCCATGACGAATGAATCTCCTCTTAGTTTTAAAAGACCATTCCAGCCAATTCTGGATATTAGTTCCATTAATAGTTGTACAGCTTTTCGTTGAAACCAGCTATATTGTTTGGCTACTGTGTTCCTTGCAAGTAAGCTTGGATCTCCGATAGAATGAACTTCCTGTGGAGAAACAAAATTTATTAAATTACATGATTGTGGACCATATACTGGACCTATTTCAACACAGGCTTTCTCCCAAATAAAATCAATATATCCATCGTGTGATTTATTTGGCATTACAATTCTACCAAATATTACATTTCTTAATTCATTGTCCTTCCAGTTTTTCATCGTACTTGCTAAATTATTGAATTCATTAGAATCTACTCCAACACTATCACGCATCTTATCACCTAACGGTCTTGAGTAATAACTATATAACGCCGCATTCCCATATATCATTTTCTTATCTCTATCCACAATTGGTAAATTTGGCATCGAGTTGATGGCAAGCAACGCTTTACCGTATTCATTTTTATGGATATAACATTTAGCTAAATAATACCATGATGCAGGTGAATCTAGGGAGAGATCTGTGGATGTTTTTGCCACTGAAAGTGCTAGATCATAGTCACCTCTCTTAATTAAAAATTTCGCCTGTAAATTTAATAGACCTGAAATGCAATTCAATATCTGTGGTGCTCTTGGGTCATCTTGTTCCATACTCTTTATGACAGCCATCAAAGGGTTTAGAGTTTCATGTAATGTTTTAATCAATTCTGCATCACGTTCATCATATTGTTCCAATATAGCGATGTGAGCTATCTTGTAAAATAAATCATTTTCTTTGTCGGATTGGCATAGTTCCTTCAGTATTAATAATGCATAATCAACTAAATTGGGGGAGATTGAAAGAAAAACTAGCAATGATCTCATTAGGTAATTTTGGAAAACAGTTGGTAATATATGTTGAGTTGTATCCCATCCAGATTCCAAGCATCTGGGCAAAAATTTGCAAAATTGTCTTATGACTCTCTTAGCACCAGATAAACTAGTATTTTCGATGGCAAGTGGGTATTCTACTAATCCTGGAAGTTTTCTTTCTGGATCCTTGTTCATTAATAAACTTCTCATACTACAACAAATGAAAGTCTCCTCCCATACAGTTTCATCAATGCTTTCTAAGGTTCTCTGTTCTAGACAATCGTACGCTCTAACTTGCACGGATCCGTCAGTTTCATACCTGATTCGAATATCTATCTTACTAAATGTATTATTGCAACAATATGTAGCGATATGATTTTGGCGAGAATTTAGCTGATTCAATTTTAGCATCTTCAGGAATGCAACCGGCATTGACGGGCTCGAAACATCTATACCAGTTATATAAAAATATTCTCCAATCTCTTCATCATGATAGCTGTCGTGTAAAGTCATATGAATCATATCAGGTAGCCCCAGCCCAGGTCTCTCCAGCATTGCCAACTCTGTAAGTATGCGGTTCCGAAACCCAAGACTTTCACCGAATTTTTGCTCCAAGATTCTAGGAAACTCATCTAGTGCATATGGGTTGGTATTCAATTTTGTTGTAGATCCATTACCATTAACAGAAACCTTTTTCAAGTTTTGAACGCTGTCATTTGCTAATGATACTTTACTTTTACTCTTCTGGGAATCCTTTGATTTACTCCACAAAAAACTCATATCTATGTAAAACAATCAATTGATGGTCCTACTAAATGTATTCGCTAGGATAAAAATGAGCAGTTGATCGGGAGGTTACAAATCTATGCTCTTTTCTATAGGTTGATCATACTGTTATTGATTCTGATTCTCGATCTCAATTTCGGATAACACTCTGTCTCGGTGAATTCGTGAAATTTCATAAAAAGAAAACAACAACGATATTTGCAAATGCACAACAGAGTACATTTACAGAGGGTTTCAAGAAAAGAAGAATATTGTTAATATGTATCAGTTTGCAAGTATTGTGGATTTGTGAACTTTCAAAGTTTGATTTACTGCTTATCTGTTTAAAAGAGCTTCCGTTTGGTGTACTCTTCCAGTATATTGGACAAAAATAATGTTAACCTTCCAACCGTGCCCTAGATTAAAATTAAATTAAGAGAATTATGTATTACTTTTGAACTATGCTTCTACATTAAATGCAAGACAATGAAATTGATGATATATACCATTTTTAATGGCCTGTAAAAGAAAGGGGTACCTTGTTTTCCTATCAACTGGATATAAAATCTCCAACTGCAGATTGTAATAAATTGATGTATTTTGTTCTTAATCTATTTTTTCGTTATCGATTCGAATAAATTTCAGTACTGTGATCTTTTTTGCCTCTTATGATGATAATAATAAAAGCATGCTAAAAGTAATATAATAAACCAAATGTTCCACCTGCAAGTCATCAGCACATGAGAAATTTCGCACCAACCATTTGTTGTTATTTAAGAAATATGAAAGTGTTTGAAAAGTGAATAGTAGAGTTCTGACCAGCATGGATTTGTGGGAATCTCGTAGTTCGTAAAGGTTAAACCATGATGCAATAAGAGGTCGGATATGCGAATTTATACTTCTAAGATAAGAACATAAAAGGTATACGGCTATATTTGATAGACTACTTTCACTAATCTGACGTTACATACTGGATTCAAAAAAAAAAAGACCACAATTCAATTTGAAGGATGTGTAAAAAATAAATCTTCCCCGCCAGGACTCGAACCTGGAATCTTCTGGTTCGTAGCCAGACGCCGTGACCATTGGGCCACGAGGAACAAGATTTGAAAAATTTAAATATGCGGTAGCGTTTATAAAGTTATCAATTTTTAAATTTTGTATTCTTAATATTGTTTTCCTTAATTTGTTTTACTAATTGGTGACGGAAATAATATGATATAAGTATATCTAGAATGTTTTACCAATAACATGGAAAGATCACGAGAAAATTACGTAATCACATTACTAATACAAAAATAGATGCGTATTACTAATGAACCATTACGTAAGGAAGATTACCTAATAGATGAGAA